ATGCCAAGGCCAGCATGCTGAAACCGACTCATACCCATACTGTTCCACACACAGCAGATTCTTAAGATCAACATCAAGTTTGGCCGGACAACCTTGGGCAAGTTTTGGAGCGGCTGAAACGGTTGCTGCCGAAGTTATCTCCGAACAAACATGTTCGGCAGTTCCAAAAATAATAATAACAAAAAAACTAGCCACTCGAGGGGGGTCATAAGGCCTGATTAAAGCCTTTTGGAAAACATGGCTAATGAACGCAAGTAATCCCAATCTTATCGATATGCTGGTCGCTGCTGTCTCTCCAGCAGTGCAAAGTACGTCGGGTGCACAGCGAATTCAAATTGGGATCGCCTAAGCGTTCGAGTTCCAAGTCGAGTGCAGAGTAGTGTAGCCCAGCCTATTATAATATACAGCCCCAATTAACCTACGCTGGATAGTGTTATTCGCGAGCTTAAGCTAAAACCTAATAAGAGCGAGCCATAAATTAGAAATACTTTACCGTTTGCATATAGAGCATATCGAATTGGTTTTTATCGTTAGTTTGAGCAGATTTTCAGACCGGAAACTTTGCCTTCAAAACTGTATTCTGGAATACTTACTGCACTCGTATGTGCACTCGTATATGCACTCTCTTTTTTGTATAAACATCTATTTGAAATTCAGACCTGTCACTGCTGCATGACTTTAGGTATCAAGTGCAAAGTTCAATACAAACGAACTCTTCTAAGGCAAGCTCTAGTTAGAGCCCCCCGGTGATTGGCTGGAAGCCTTAGTTGTGCATTCCTTCTACTATGACAAGGTTAACCTGTATATAATATGTACATACAGATTACTACAGTACTACAGATTGTTCTTATCACAATCTGGCCTATATAAATTCATTGAATGTAAAGAAGATTTAGGGTTATTTTAAATGGATTCATAATTACAGCCTGTTTCCACATCATACATGTTGAGGTTCGTCTCATTTATCGCTCTCAGACAGACTCGGCTCCTACCCAATGACTATGTGTACAGCCTTGACATCACTTTGAACCTTCCATTGTCTGGCGTAGCCATAATCCCCATCCAGTGGCCTCCGTTCCATTGCAGATAGTCCGGGCTAAGTATTGGGATTGGGTTTATCGCGGCGATTTATCTCAAATCGCCTGGCTGTTGCGCCGTGCAGTGCGCTTGTCGAGCTGCGATTTCGATGTTGCTCTATTTTTATTACTTTCAACCGTTGACCATAAAACATCGCTATCGATAGGAGAAGATACTACGAGTGCGAGTGCGAGTGCCAAGTCGTTGCTTAACGTCGCTAATCTGCCTTTTCCCCTCTTAAATCCCACTCCAGTGCCTTGTGGGCCTACTTCAAGCTGCTGCGGTACACAAAGCGGCATGAGCGCCTCAACTACACGGTAGCGGATGTATTCGAGAGGAATGTCAGGGCTCATCCCGAGAAGGTGGCCGTTGTGAGCGAGACCCAGAGGTGGACCTTCCGGCAGGTGAACGAGCACGCCAACAAGGTGGCCAATGTGCTGCAAGCCCAGGGGTACAAGAAGGGCGATGTGGTGGCCCTGCTCCTGGAGAACCGCGCCGAGTATGTGGCCACCTGGCTGGGTCTGTCGAAGATCGGCGTGATCACACCGCTGATCAACACGAATCTGCGCGGTCCCTCGCTGCTGCACAGCATCACAGTGGCCCACTGCTCTGCCCTGATCTACGGCGAGGACTTTTTGGAGGCGGTGGCTGATGTCGCCAAAGATCTGCCCTCCGATCTGATCCTCTTCCAATACAACAACGAGAACAACAACACCCAGACCCAGAAGGACATCAAGCTGGCCAGGAATCTCAATGTTTTCTTGGCCACAGCCAGCAAGCAGAAACCGAACAAGACGCAGGTCAACCATCACGACAAATTGGTCTATATCTATACTTCCGGCACCACAGGACTGCCCAAGGCGGCTGTTATCTCCCATTCGCGGTGGGTATCTCAGCTTGCGCTCTTCTGAATTATATTTGCATCCATAAGTGTGGGCTTTTTCCACCCATGTAGCTATCTCTTCATCGCCGCCGGCATTCACTACACGATGGGCTTCCAGGATGACGACATCTTCTACACTCCCCTGCCGCTGTACCACACCGCTGGAGGCATCATGTGCATGGGCCAGTCCGTGCTCTTTGGCTCCACGGTTTCCATCCGCAAGAAGTTCTCGGCCTCCAACTACTTCGCTGATTGCGCCAAGTACAACGCCACAGTAAGTCCTGGAGCTGAGCCCCCTTTGAGCACAATCTTAAGGCTATAATGCTATACTATATGATCTCTAGATTGGGCAGTACATTGGGGAGATGGCCCGCTATATACTGGCCACTAAGCCGTCGGAGTACGATCAGAAGCATCGTGTGCGCCTCGTCTTTGGCAATGGACTGCGGCCGCAGATCTGGCCGCAGTTTGTGGAGCGTTTCGCCATCGCCAAGGTGGGAGAGTTCTACGGGGCCACCGAGGGAAATGCGAACATCATGAACCACGACAACACTGTGGGAGCCATTGGATTCGTCTCGCGGATTCTGCCGAAAATCTACCCGATCTCCATCATTCGCGCCGATCCCGACACTGGTGAGCCCATAAGGAACAAGGACGGGCTCTGCCAGCTGTGTGCCCCCAACGAGCCGGGCGTCTTCATTGGAAAGATTGTCAAGGGCAATCCGTCGCGCGAGTTCCTGGGCTACGTGGACGCAAAGGCCTCGGCCAAGAAGATTGTTAAGGATGTCTTCAAGCACGGCGACATGGCCTTCCTTTCCGGGGACCTCTTGGTGGCCGACGAGAAGGGCTATCTGTACTTCAAGGACCGCACCGGCGACACCTTCCGCTGGAAGGGCGAAAACGTCTCCACCAGCGAGGTGGAAGCCCAGGTCAGCAACGTGGCTGGCTACAAGGATACGGTTGTCTACGGCGTGACCATTCCCCACACCGAAGGCAGGGCTGGCATGGCCGCCATCTACGACCCCCAGAGGGAACTCGACCTGGACGTCTTTGCCGCCAATCTTGCCAAGACTCTGCCCGCTTATGCGCGGCCCCAGATTATCCGTTTGCTGACCAAAGTGGATCTGACCGGCACGTTCAAGCTGCGCAAGGTGGATCTCCAGAAGGAGGGCTACGACCCCAGTGTGGTCAAGGACGCCCTGTACTACCAGACGTCCAAGGGACGCTACGAGCTGCTCACGCCCCACGTGTACGCGCAGGTGCAGAGCAACGACATTCGCTTTTAGTTTCTCCTGGAGCCACTGCTCCTGCCCTTCTCTTCCAAGAGGGTTTCACCTTTTGCCGATATGCTGTTAATTAATTTGTAAGCTTCCCGCGAGTCGACTTAGTCTTAGTTTGAAAACCCTGCACTGGAGATGGGCCACTAGGCGAGTATATTGACGTTTTTCGGGAATGGGATATATCCCCACTTACCCTTCCCTGCCAACATTGCACATTGTTGTAGGCAATCTTTTATACTGTAGTAATCTTAATCGATAGTCTGAGTCTGGTATACGCATTTTGAATGTTTTTAGCCTGCTAAAGAACCTTGTTAAGTGCAATTTCGTTCGTCTCTTATTATTAGTCAGTTTTACGTAGTGGCATTACACTTCCATTCGCGCTGCTTTTCGCCTTTGCCTCTGTACATACGAGAGAAGCTTTGTCAATGGCGAACACGCCTATGATGCTTCAGTATCAAATAAAGTTTGTTTTCTTCAACAATCATTGTATTTAAATTATCAGCTTACGAGTCTGTGCGTACTGCCGGGGGAACTCGGCGGAACGACGACCGACCGACCGACCCTTCCCCACCTGCATACAAATGCGCTACTCAATTGGCAGCGCCAGATCACGACACCGACAGCTGTAGATGCTATATGATATAGACGAATGCGTTGACAATGCGAATACATACCCATACATACATGTTATGTAAATTCATATTCGAGCTTGTGTGCGAGGCAAACTTGAACTCTGCTGGCATTCAGATTCAGAGTGCAGCCAAGGCATCCCCGCTAATGAGACGATTGTATAATCCGCACCTGTGATTCATGATACATACATAGTTCTAGTAGCTACAGCCTTTAATCAGCTTTAATCTAGCATGACGTAGTACTAGATCCATGTTCTAGTCTCCGATAATTTGATTTAATAATATACGATAATATCATAGAGTTCTCAATGTATTCTAGCGTAATCGCTAAACGGCCATAGCGAAAACCGCGATGAAACAGCCGGCAATTAAGTGGTAATTATATTAAATAAAGGTGCACGCTCCAAACAAGATATTTACCCAGCTGGCACGCCCCATTAATGGCAGGTCAATCAGATATGCAACTTACTAAGTAGGAATTAATATTAATTCGATCTTATTTTGCACTTTTTGGATCAGAAGTACATGCACACGAGTATGTACGTCTCTCCACCATTGTATTTAGTCTTATAACGAAGATATTATATTCAAAGGTAGTAATATTATATTCCAATATAAATATGCAGAAATGCAGAGGAAAGAGTATTGTATAATCAATACAGAAATACTTTAAGTGTGTATGCATAAAAAGTACATTGTGAAAGATTTATGTATGAATATCTGTTTACATTGGTTGGGAGTCAACAATATTGTGTAGTGATAATCCAAAACTGTTTTTTTGAAAACGATGTTACGAGCAAATTAGATTTTTCAGATAAATTAACTTCTGTATGTCCGGATATGTTCGACTAGTTTTAGAGTAGTCGAACAAGCTAAGCGCCTATTGAGCTTTAACAGTAGTACATATCAGCAAACCGATTCGATTGTGTTATTATTCAATAAATAAATTTAAAAAACCCGCAATAAAAATAATTGTTTTAAGTTAAAGTTATTAGCTTGAAAAAGGCGCGAATTTCAAAAGCTTTCCACTCTCAATACCCTAAAAAAGCCAAAGGGAAAGCACCACCAGGTGAATGGCAAGAATCGAAGAGGCAGCAGCAGCAGCACCCAGCCCGAGCCAAGAACCGTTATGTTATCAGTTCAGGCAGGCAAAAGCCAACAACAAGGCGAGGCTTTGAAAGGCACTCTCTGCGCTTACAATTGCAGTTGCAGTACCCAGTCCGCCCCTGTAAGAATACGTATTTGTGTGTGTGTGTGTGTGTGTGTGTGTGTGTGTCTAGGAAATAAGATTATGAATCTGACGTACTGCCGTCTGCATAATTATTTCGATTCGAAACAGGCACAAAGTCAGCTGCAATAATAACAATAATAAATCAGACTGCAACGATGACTGGAGCTGCGGCGGTGCTCTTCTCGATCACGATTCCTACAAAGGCGGAAGAGGAACGTCTCAGAGATGACTGTTCCCGAGGTTCGGATAGGGATGCGGATGCCCAGACAGGTGCCGCAGCGAGCCTGGCCGGAAAAGCGGCCACTTCCTCCGTCTCGACCGTGGAGACCTTGTCCACCATTCCCATCAGCTATTCTCGGAATGACTCCCCCGAGACGCCACATCTAGACAGCTGTTACAAGAGACGAAGCGACGTCTTGCCCACCATTCAAATCGAGTCGGCAAATGCCGCGTCCACCGACCAGCTGCTGGACATACCCCTGGACACCGCCCAGGAGCAGGTGCTGCAGCAGATTCTCCGCAAATTTCACATCTGCAATGCCGTGTGGCTGAGCAGCATGGAAGGCACCAGGTACCACGTCAGCTTTTCCATGGATTTCGATGAACAGTTCGAAATCCTTTACGAGGCGCTACAGGAGTGGGGCATAGGCGATCGGGAGGGCTCCACGGTGTCTGTGGTCACCTGTCTGGCCAACAGATCTTATGTCCAGCGCGAGCCGCTTGAGGAGGCGGATTCTTCCACGAGCAGCGAGTAATACCATCCGAACGACGGACTTATCACAGTAATACAACTCCGTCTTCCGTCTTAGAAACGTCAATGTCCAGAAGAATGGCGCCTGGAACCGTTTTATGAACTCTGTGCGCTCCCGTCTGAACGTGGCACAGATTCTGAGAGACGTTCGTCAGGATGCGGCGATAACTTTTGACTTTTGCGTGCTTCTCGTTTCGGCAGCGTGAGAAACAAAAATGATCGATCGTTGATACAGCAGTTCGGTGACCTTTGCAATCGTTTCAGAATTCTGGCCAGCTTCGGCTTGGTGGAGAACAGCACAATCTTTCTGGCTTCCAGCATGCTGATCTCCCCGCTCATGGGACCAATTATTGCCGCCATTTTCGGGACGGTAATCGAGGACCGGTCGCTGCGTCGCCTGGGCATGCTGAACGAGCTGATTGGTATCTTGATTGCCACACTGGTGGGCTTCCTCTTCGGCCTGGTCGTCTGCACCACGGACAAGAAGTACGGCATTGGGGAAGGTCTCACCGAGGAGATGCTGTCGCGCTGCGATCTGCATTCACTGATCGTCGGCGTCTTCACAGCGATTCCGTCTGGGGCGGCGGCAGCCATCGCCATACTCGGAGGAAATATTGGCAGCCTAGTGGGCGTCGCCATATCAGCCTCGCTGCTGCCTCCGGCTGTAAACTCAGGACTACTGTGGGCCCTGGCCTGCATCTACAAGATCTTTGAGAACGACGACTCCCTCTACGTTGACGTTATCAAGTCGAAGCGGTACTCCGAGAACCAGGCCAAGGAGCTGGCAGTGTTGGGAAGCATCAGCATGTGCCTGACCCTCTCCAACGTACTGTGCGTTTATACGGTGGGTATTTTTGTTCTGAAGGTAAAGGAGATAGCTCCGGCCATAGGACGAAAAAACAGGCAATTCTGGAAGCACGACATCAAGCTGGTCAAGGGTCAGTGCAAGGTGGAGACTGATGCGGAAATCATCGACGAGCTGCTGGCCACACTGGCTACGGAGGATAAGCAAGCGATGGGCCTCAATAGAAACATCCTGCGTCACCTTGATGAAACGCGGTACCAGCACACATGGTCGCCGCTGAGCAATCGACACAGCTCCATTCAGCCCCCTGGCTTCTCCACCATCCACCGGCTGGAGCAGCTATACACGAATCGAATAGGGAATCCTCCCGGAGAGCGTCGCAAGCGCCACAGTGTCACTAGTCGACCATCGCAGAGGAGCAACGAAAACAGCCACCAGTTGAGCCCCCCACAGCACGTAAGCCTTTGCATACACACTTTGCAGAGTTACATAACTGCTCAGTTTTTCCAATTACAGCGTCCTCGATTTGCCAGTATGCCGTCGAACGTGAGGAAGGACGAGCCGCCACAAGAGACCATCATCCAGGTAGCCAGCTCCAAACGCTTTACAGTCACGCCGGCTCGAGAGGAGCACTGAGAATCCATATTATTTGTTAAATGTCTACGTGTAATGAATCTTTGTGCAACAATTTTCAATAACAACTAAAAGTCCACTCCCTCGGGTCCTTGTCGGTCCGCCTTGACCTGAGCACGACCCCGTTTCAGCTGGAGGCGCTCGCGTGCTGCCCGCTCTTGTCGCCGGCGCACTCTTTCTAGGGTCTCCTCGCTGGGCGCTGCCAACTCAACTTCCTGTGCCCGGATCACGGTGCGTAGCTTCTCCAAGGCATCAGCAAGGTTAAGCTGCTGGGAGCGGCTAACGTCGCTCTTGATATAGTAGTATCCCTCCTTGGTGATCTTGTTGGCCAACACCTTAAGCAGCTTCTGGCGCGTATCTTCTGGTATCCATTGCGCCTCGGCCAGTTTAAAGCGCACGTCCACTTTGGTGTTCACGGTGTTTACGTGCTGGCCCCCAGGTCCAGAGCTGCGACTATAGGTAATCTCGAGCTTATCCATGGGTATGTAGCCATTGAACTTGTTTGCGCTGTTTGGGGGCTGTAATACTACAACACATGAGCAACCAGTCGCAGAAGGAAATGAAACTTACACTTACCGGCGGGGGCGGCGTATAGAGCTGCAAGCGCGCACTTGGGTAAATCTTGTCCAGCGACAAGTCGCTTTTGTAGGACAACTGGCGACCCAGGAGTGTGGTGCTGGTGCAAGTCGAGTTGCTTTGCCGCAGCACGCTTATAAAAGCACGCGTAATTTTATTCATTTCAATCCAATTTTAACAATTTGTTACGAGTGTGTCCAACCATCGAAGGCACTATCGATAGTATCGATATTTTACTGCTAGCCTCTACTATCGTCTGTTTTGCGACTATCATGATAGTATCGAGCTACAGTCGTTGCGCTTTTGATATGTTTGGATTGAATACATTTGTAGAAAAATCTATAGGTGGCATCTATTTTTTACAATGGACAAGTTCCTAAAAGGTTTCAATGGTTTTTTAATAATTATTTGAGCCCGATACTATTACGATAGTATCGACTGTTTTTTTCAAAACATTCAAAGTTGATATTCCTCGATTTTGATATTCGGTTTAATATTACTAGCTAGCTAAACAAATAATTTAATCCGATTGATACATAAATTTTCTACAAGATGGGCAAGTTGTCAGAAGTCCTTTTTATTGGATTCTTTACATATTAATAGGCTGTTTACATTGGGGCTGCGTCATGCTTCTTTGCGTCTTGCCGGAGACGCAGTTTTTTTTTACATAGGTTAAGCATAGGGCCCTAGTGGTGGCAAAAAGTTGCGTCAGTTTCTGATTCATGTGCGTCTATTCGATATATTCGATATATTCGATTTTCTGCTTCATTGCGTCTATGCCGATATCAATAGCAGACGCGCCCAGTGTAAAAAGGCTATAAGGTTCAAACAAAAACAACATAAAACGAATGTGACGTCGTTTTGTGGCGTTGCCAGACTCGTGTAATTCGTAGTTGCTGCGGGCTGCCATACCATGATATTTTGTGATATGAAATTCGTCAATTTTGATATTCAGTTTAATATTACTTGATAGTTGGCCCTCTCAGCCCTGAACAAATAATTTTATCCAATTCCTCAAGGAATTTTGTTCAGGATTGGCTAGTTTTCAGAACTCTTTTTCATTATATTTTTTACATAATAAGGTTCAAACAAAAACGGCCAAAGCATAAAACGTAAATGTTTACTAAATGTGACGTTAGTGTTGCTGGTCAGCAAAGTTACTTCTATGCGTAAAAGCCACACTTTAGGCACACGGACGGCTTGTGGAGATGCTTGCAAAATGTCTCGTGAAGGTCTCGTTTTTGTTTGATTGTTTCACATTTTTCACAGTACTGGTACTGATTGGAGCCCTGTTACGCATGGCGAAACCCTGGCGCTGGCTCTTCAGTTGCAGGCAGGATTTGAAAATGTCGCTTCAAATTTTTCCCCTCTTTGACCTTCTCCTGACGGTGGCCATCAAAATTGCGTGTGTATGAAAGGGAGTTCACTGACTCTGATGAGTTGGTGGTGGTGGCTCTAGAGATTTCGCAGTTGTTTGATAATTATTTACTATCTTATTGTAACTATTTTTATTATTATTTTAAGCGACTACTTATTTAAGTTTTACATGTATGTATTTGATATACAATAATAAACATTATCTCTTTGTCCCCAAAAAATACTATTCGATATAAAATCCGTTACAAAAGTAACGGTTCACGTTTTCAACTTTCAGCCAATCAATCGTTCGAAATTTTCTTTAAACATTCTGGGCGCGAGATTCATTGTTGCTACGCGTTCCCGTAAGATACATGCTGCTCACACCACGAAAAGTCAACACGAAAGCGTGAAAAGAGTGAAAATTTTGAAAACCCACCACGAATTGAGAGCCAAAAATGGCAGTATTTTTTGTGCGCTAAGTGAGTTTGGCGGTCATTTTCAAAAGTATTTTCACTTGATTTGTATTGTCGATTGTGACTGGAACCTCAGAAACCTCAGAAAAAATCAATTATTTTATATCATAAAAGGAAAAAAAATTAAAAACCCATTGTTTTGATATGATAAAATAAATAAAACTGCAAAATGAACCCTATTCGAATTGAATCCTGAAAGGTGTCAACCTTGGTTTGTTACAATGTTAAGAAAAAATTAAATCGCTCGGAATTCTGTGGCACGGCGGAAATTTTTAACCGGAAATCCTCTGCGCGGTTTCCAATTTCACTAGAGATTTCTGTGGCACCCCTGATACATTTCTTTTTTTTTACATGGTAACTACACATTAACTACATATCAGCCAAATATTAATGGAGTAAGGACCCTATCTATACCCCCTTTTATTTAATTAATGTTAAAATTTTATTTTATTTGGCATACCTGCTAAATATACAAACGAAGTTCATAGCATCGGTCACTGCATTCATTGGGGTCTGGATGACAAACATTTGATCAATACCCTTTTGCCTCATAAACCATGTAGAAAGTTTATAAAATTCCTTTTTGCATAAAAATGCTTTTAAACACAGCTTTTAAAATTTTCCCGTTGTTTTTGTTTTCAAGCAATGAAAGTCTTCCAAATAGTTATATGACATTAGACTTTGCTAACTGACTAGCTGGAAGAGCGAGAGAAATATATGCGCCAAGCTGGCTTTCCAGTTGAGCTGGGAGCAGCGACTAATCGATTGCTTTACTCTGCGGATACAATTTTGCATCTTATAAATATTTTATAATAATTGTATATCAAGTAGTGCCATTAGAAGTGTCTAGAGACGGCTACGAATAATAATGTTGCATTTTTTCTCTCATGCTATCCCTTTTTTCGCACCAAAATTGTCTAGTGTCATAATGCTAAAAGTAACATATCATACCTTTCCAACATAGCCCCTGCGGTTCGAGATTTACTCTCTCCCGACTCATTTTTGCGTTGAACAAAATATCGATAGTTGGCTCGATTTGGCGGTAAAAACTGTTATTTTATATATTAAATCAATACCCAAACAGTTACTTTAAAACTGTAGGTTAATTATCTTTTTATAAATAATAAGTTGGAACTGTTTCGCAGTGTGTGGAACTTTCGATGCCTTTATTGACATACAAATGTATCTTCCCCAACATATATACCCGCCAGTTTAGTTATTTCTGGCGAACGCATCAAACGTATTGGCGTGAGCACCTTGACTACGATCACTATCGATATGAGATGCAGTGCTACCGGATGGTTGGAACATTTGAGCGATTTAATTTAAATTACACACAAAATTCTTAAAAACCGTATCATTCTGAATTATACATTCTTTGGCGATTTGGCGGGAGTATATATATATATATATAAATATCCTAAGAATCGGGAGCGGCACTTTTGTAATGTCTTTTCATGGCTCAACACAGCGCAGCAGTCATCAGGGAAACTGGTTTGACTTGTTTCTGGGTGCTTTGTTTGCTGGACTGGGAATACAAAGGCTTGTAAGTAGCTAAGCCCGTGGCACAAAGGAGTCGTTACAGACCTCCCTCGGGGGTGGCAGCAGCGAGAGAGAAAGAACAACGAAATGCATTGAGCCCAATGTTCGCAGCCCTCCGCCAAAAGCAGTAGCAAGAACCATTACCAAACGCATGGGATTGCCCAAAGGGAGAGCAATGCCAGCTGCTGATAACATTATGCTCTCCTGGCGCGCTCTCTCGCTCTGCCCTCTATTGCTCTACGACGCGAGAATTTATCAGCTAGTCAAGCGTTCATATTTTTCAGTTTTCTTTCGCGGCACACCACAGTTGGATTCACAAGTGGAAAACATTTCGTGCCTTTGGTCGCTTCGGTCCGACGCGCGTTATTTTCGTTGCATTTTTTGAAGAGACATAGATGTACATATATGTAATTACGCGGGGTATGCTCTACCATTAAGTTTTGCAGTGTGCAGTGCGGGTGTGTGTTTGTGTTTGCAGCTCTATGCGTTCTTATCAGGCGCAGCTATTACATATAGAGCTAATCAGTAGACCTTTCGCCAATCGAACAAAATATTTTGTGGTTTACATTGCAACAGTTGAGTTGAGGGTTTTGATTTAGCCTTTGTCCCCTCAAACAACCCCTCCCCTTTCACGGTCTCCACTCCGTTTATCACATTCGGCGATAAGCCGCAAGCAACTGCGAGGGGAGCGTTAGAGCCTGACATTTGAGAACTACATACTAAATACTTAGTAGAAGGAACCTACCTACAAACGCACTGGCAATTGCGAACGGTGGAGCTGGCAAAGGGGCAAATAAGACGACGGATAGGCCAACACTCATACACCGAAAGAAATATCAGCTGGCGTACGTAGGCCCGATCGTTTTGCTTTTGGATATTTTTAAGCTATTGACGAAAGTGCGCGTAGATGCTGCGATTTTAACAAAAACTATGTGTAATTAATCAATCAATTATCAATCGTGCTGTAATTGTGCCCGCGTACCAACAGAAGATGAGCCGAGTTGAAACAAAGGCGAGAAAGAATACAGCGCGCTATAGTAAATGTATATTCATGTGTATGTATGTACATATGTATATATGAATTTGCATTAAAAATGAGGCTTCAAGTGCATTCGGCGTACGCTACAAAACCAAAACGAGATGCGCGAGCATATTTACTTTGCGAAAAAGTTTGTGACGCGAGATATATACTGCGAAAGTGAACGCATTCACTGATTCCTTCCAAGTGCTTGTTAATGGATTTAACGAAAAGAATTTAAATGTCAATAATAAAAGCAATAAGCCCGCGAAAGCTTTGTTAAATAAATGTACTTGTAGGGCATTCAACCGTCACCATTCGCCACCATTAGCCACAAGAGAGCCAGTAGATTTGTCTATATATCTCACTCTATCGCTCTCCGTGTGGTGACAGCTGTCGGGGCAAAGCAACACGTGTAGCAAAGAGAGAGAAAGTGAGATATAAACAGAAGAAATATAAGAAGAAAAAACCACATTCATATATGAACATACATATGCATGTATTTATGTATACATATGTATGTATGTGCTTATGTAGCTGCAGCAGCCAAACATTGCCTCTGCGCTCCCATACACCCACCCAACCAGTGGATATTCTGGTTTGTTTGGGGCATGGTCTGATTAGCAACAGGCAACCGCACCTCTATTTCCGCCCCCGACATACATACATACATATGTATGATTCTCTTCTTGTTCGACTTTTTATTAAATGGGATGATGTCTGCTTCCCCCCGCTGTTCCCATTCCTCACTTCAATAAGCTAATGAACTCACACACACAGTCGCAGCCAATGAGAAAAAGACGATTTAAAAGAGCGAAATTAAAATTCAAATGAGAACTCAACACAACACACACACTCAAACACATTCGCGACGGCAAAATCTAACTTATTTTAATTGTTGACGCCGCTCTCGAATACAGGCCTAAGCAAAACGAGACGAGAAGCGAAAAAAGAAAAAGGAAATTAAATGACATTAAAAAATGTTTAACAGCACGAATTAGGCTGCAAGTGAATTTTAAACTTGTGAGATAAAAGTGAACTTTATTAGCGTTAAGGTGAAGGTTGGGAAATATCAAAAGTGATAATACAAACTCCTCACACACACACACACCGTTGAAACCATGTCCAGCTGGAGCTTGGCCAGTGCCGTCTCCCCGAATGTAACAGGTTCTGACGTCATCCGGCTAAGCAGCCTCAACTCTCGCTCAGACTCAAACCTGACAGCACCACCCCGTCCAACGACCCCTGTGCCCGCCAAGAAGTTGGCCTCCAAGCGCCCGCCACATCTGACGCTGCACATCAGACCCACAGCTGATGCGCCGCTAGCCGAGACCGAGAACAGTGCTCTGTCGGACGGGGGCCCATCCCTCTATGGCACGCCTCTGGGGGCGACGCCTGCTGCCTCAATTTCGGCTGCATCTCCCGCCAGCAGCACCAGCCATCGCAGCAGCAGCACGAGTGGGTCCATATTCCCTCACGAACAATATAAAGCCATCAAGAAGATCAATATCGGCTTTGAGAACATTCGCTACACCACCAAGTTTGGGGTCTTCAACAGGGGTAAGCGGATAATCGATCATGGAGGATTCATTCTGTGCTTTCCTTCAAATTGAGTCATAAGATACCATCTACTACAAAATACTGTCAAGTTAAATATGTTATTATTGTCACGCATAAGATACCATCTAGAGGGACATCCCCAAGGTTATAAATATTCGTATACGCACATACATATGTACATATATATTGTATTTGATTGCCCAGTCGCAGTCACGCTTTGGTAGGAGTTATAATTGTCCGTCGACAATTGGATACGTACACATATGTACATACATATGTATGTATAATATCCAGTGTATAAGCTTCAATGGCTTTCTTCTCTGGAATGTAAAAAGCATGTTCATTTAGACACCATAAAACTCAAAATTAAGCCATAATTATCCGAATCATCAGTAGGGAATAAAGTGCAATTTCCTATAGTCTCGGTTCATCAATTTTTAAACTGTGACCTAAACAGCCATGTACAGATAATAACAATATGATTATAATCCGCTTTTATTGCGGGCATTCTGTATTCTGGGAACATTGAACATTTCCGATATTCAGCTATCATCAGTTATTTGTTTCTTGGTTCTAAGTCGAGTATGTTGTTGCTTCAGCTTGAAGTACTGCTTCAAGAATAGTACAAAGAACCAGCGGAACAACGAATCCAGTCAGATTGGGGGTACGTTCAGTGCTTACAACACAAGCAACGCAATATGTAAGCAGCAGTCGTTATTTATTGACAAGATACTGATTGAGCGAATCACTCGGGTTCAAAGAGCCTTTTAAATTCAATTAAACAAAATGCATACAGAAATAAAAGAAGTATAGCTTTGAATTACTTACACGGTCAGGGCCAAATATAGAGGTCACTAGTATTATAAGTGGGAAATATGTTCATGAACATATGTATACATATATGTATGCATAGCACACCTTCTCCCCACCTCCCCTACTATGTATTTTGCATAATGTCTCTGGGTGTGTCTTTTTTGTTTACTCTATGGACAGTCCCACAGTTAGAGTGCCGATAAGAACTGCCGCTTACAACATACTGTTACGTCCTGGATACAGTAAATGTTTGCGCTTATCTTTTTGGGGCTCAAACAACTTAACGGGGAGCGATTTGAATAGTTATGTGGACTCGTCTGAATGAATCATCCGTGTGTAGTTTCGATAGATAATGGACATTTAAGTGAACAGGTCCGCAGCCAAATTGACTCCCAAGTGACTCATGCCTCGACTCATTTTATTGGTGTCCTCATTCGAATTATGACACGCGCCAAACTCTGATTACCGATACATACATATGTACATATATGTATATGATATTTCGTTGAAGAGTGCTCGAGCATTGAAAATGTAAGCGAGAAATAATATGAATCCAATTAGGGGCATACTTATCATGAAAAACAGGACGACGACGCTGCTCTTTGGTTCCGATGATAGATTCAAATGTAATCAGTCTTTAAGGTTTCCCACTCTTCGAAAAGTTCAGGTGAACTCAAACCATTTGCCAAACAAATTAATGATATGGACTCCATTTATTCATTGAGTTATCCGTATCAAGCTGAAAACTTTGACCACTTATAGCCGTAGTATTCCCCTACCTATCCGCCAACATTTGAAACATAAACCACATGTGGTACAATGTTACTCGTGTTCCATATCTACAATACTTGTTTAATCACCTCGCCAACAGCAGTGGGAACCGATAATGAATGCTTCAAAAAATATATGTGTGCATGTATATTACTATACATTTTATTCAGATTAATTAATAGAGCAAGAGTACGAAAGAGTGTCGATAATTTTGATAGCGTAAAAGTGCGTTCGGCGTCCAAGCGACTACGATTTCCATTATTACGACATATATCGGACATGTGATGATGAATCCTATAAACAATGTTATAAGCTATACATATGTATGTATGTATGCAGTAGGTAACGCAATGACAAAATTTGATGGAAACACTAGACATTAGCTTGACCAAATGGCCTGGGAGGATCTGTTGACCTACCGATAAAATAGCATTTTTAGCTACATGAAAAAGGCGCAAACGTTTTAATTGATATCACTTAAGATCCATTAAATGGATTTGATTCTGGTTTTCAGTGTCGTCTCGTCATCGTCGTTATGTGTGAGTGCATTTTCCCTGCTTTCCCTTTCTATGATTTTATTCCATTCTATACAAACATAGCTTTACATTCGCAATTATATGTACATATGTACAAAGCAGACTTTGAATCCAACATTGAAATGAATGAGTGGAAGTGGACAGCTGAGGCTTCCGCCTCACTGTTTGAAGTTTGCGTGCTCTAGAAATTTTAGATTGCTGGGAAATTTCAAATTTGAGGAATAAGCGGAGGCATTTGAAAGATTTATGATTACAAGAGCGTGACAATTACTCTTGCTTGCTTTAATTCTCTTGAAATCTATTCTCACTCGACAAGAAAGAGACCCTCAATAGCTATAATTTATCTAAAGCTTAACGCAGATGCATGATTCAACAATCAAGGAGCACTCATTTCACATAAAAAGCAAAATCGTTATCAAAATACACAAGAAAATGGATCAAATTAATTAACAAACAACCCACATAACATATCTAATTTATGTTTTGTATTACTGACAAGCAATGTACTTATGATATCCTATAGGAAGAAAGGAGGACTACCACGATGGCCAAAGCTTCTCCTTGCACATTACACATTACATTACAAAACGATTGCTCCTAAAACAGTTATGGGATAAACATACATACTCGTAGTAATTTGAATTGGATTAAATGTACCTACAGCTCTGTTGAGCTGAGTTTGTTTGAAACAGTTTTAATCAGCCTTAAAAGCTTTATCTAAACATTAATTTTATTCTGAACACTTTTGTCTGAGCTATCCTTAAAGATAACACGTAAAACTGACTTTTTGCTTCCACTATGATATTACGTGAGTATCAATTAAATCTATAAGATCTACTGATTCTATTTTTTTTTGTAATATTGGAAATTTCTTCATGTATATGCAACCAAAAGATTGTTGTTATTTTTAACACATTTCAAAACATTTCTGAAAATTTCCCCTTATTCGGTGATGGCACTTTTTGTAACCGGTACATACTCGAAGAGTTTATACCAATATTACAGCGTTACCGCTCGTTATTACTAAACGAAACGAAGGCGTCAGTTCGCTTATGGGAACTTTGTGCATAGAATCAATCAATTCCTTCAACGAATGTGTCCGAACAGCGGCATTACAATACATACGAGTATTTAGCGCTCATTCATCGTGTCAGCGGTTTCTGGTGCGAGGATAAACCTTAAACCTTGAACTACCCTATAGTTCTGTCTGTCATATGCCCATAATCCCAATTGGAAAATGCAATACCAAGTACAAGGTCATCGCATGACAGTGATAAGGAATTCAGTTCGCAGTAATTGGAATGCAATAAAAGTGGCTGCGGACACCTGTTCCATGGGTGGTTTTGGCTCACCATCTGGTCACCCGCCCATAACCCGAAGAAAAAGCGTTAGGGCACTTATACGACTTTTAGTCATACTCGTGGAACTGCTGCGATAAGATTTGACGAGGAATTGATTGATAAGTCTCCCCACCAGACCCCTGGAATCTAAATTATGCAGTAGCCATGGCTAATCGGCAGATTAAGTCGACATTCAGCGTGCCCGGCTACAATGTAGTCCGCCCCACGAAGCAGCCTGCTTCCTGCTGTATTGACCAATGCCGATCCAATCCGAACCATTCCTCGACAATTGAACTTAAATTTCTTTATGGAACACAATGAAAAGCATGCAAAAGGCGATTAGCCATCATTGAGCGACTCCGAGATAGGGAAAATGAGGTTCGGTGCGCTTATCAGTCGAGGACAAAGACGAGAGATATTCTGGGGATGTACAAATGTAGGACAGCCTGAAGCACAGCTGTAACATGTGCAGTAATCTCAATCCTAATGTCTTGGTTGTTCTTGCCCCTATTGATTAAATGGGTCTCAGGGTTTGTATTTATTGTACATAGTTTTTACATATGTATATTATGCATAGATGTGAACAGAACAGTCGTGTTAGATGCCCTTGCTCCTAAAAGCTCCCTTCAAAGCTTGGCCCCGAGACAGTAAAAACAACATACATGGCGTGTGCGTGAGTGAGCTCATCGACGTTCGACTCGAGCTACGCTTATAAGTATTATTTTGTCGTTGTTGCTGGTCTGCTCCCAAATTCAAAGAGCCCGACCACCGCTGCACTACACTGCAGGGCATACTGATTCGTAACCTCTTACTGGTACTTGGGTTAGGACTGGGACTGGGACTGTGCTTTCATTCTGTTCTTGTTGCATAAAACTGCACAACAACTAGATGAAATTATGATGTTAGTGATATGCAAAGAATGCATTTCTTAGACGTGATTAAGTGATCGATGAGGTTTAGATATCGAGCTCAGTGAGTCATCGGATCGGGTCAGGTGTATTAATCGCCGTGTCTATTGAACAGAGGGATTTGTTAATTTTACCCAAGTCCACCTTTCAACAACTTCAGTAATAATGAATGAATCTTATTTACATTGATTCCATGAATTTCTTGCTTACAGAAACTAAAGACGTCCTCTTGGGTCCGACGGGTTACTTTAAGTCTGGCGAGCTGAGTGCAATCATAGGACCCTCTGGAGCTGGCAAGAGCACACTGCTTAACATACTCTCAGGATACACGTAATGTAACCCCGATCCTTAGCCGGAATTCCATCCATGCTCATCAGTGAATGTTGTACCTCCACACTGTAGAACATTTGGTTACACGGGAGACTTTCGCGTCAACGGCAATCGACGGGACCTGAAGGCGTTCAAACCAAATGTGGCGTTCATCAGGCAGGACACGAGTCTGCAGGCCTTCCTTAGTGTCAAGGAGGCCATGCACTTTGCGGCAAACCTGAAGATTGGCACACACATGACGCTATGCGAGAAGCGAGAGCGGGTGAAGAGCATTCTGGAAGCCATCGGGATGTATGCGAACCGCAATACGAGGACAGGCCAGCTAAGCGGGGGACAAAAGAAGCGTCTGGCCATTGCTCTAGAGCTAGTGAACAATCCCCCCGTGCTAATACTAGATGAACCAACCACGTAAGTTAAATGCCAGACCAGTCTCAGAGCAGACACCATAATCCAGCGGAGAAGAATTCACTTGATATCTCACATCACATATGCAGCGGCTTGGACAGCTTTACCTCCAATCAGCTGATTACCCTGCTGAAGAAACTAGCCATCGAAGGACGCACTGTCATCTGCACCATTCACCAGCCGACGGCCCTGACGTTTGCCATGTTCGACTATCTGTATGGCATTGCCGAGGGCCACTGCATCTACGCGGGCGGCTCACAGAACCTCCTTCCCTTCCTGGGGGCCCTCAATCTGCATTGCCCGGAATATTACAATCCAGCGGACTACTGTAATTTTGATAGCACACTCCTATTCCATCGAATAATAAGTGCATTCTCTTGTAGTAATGGAGATAGCAACGCATGATTATGATACGGAAGATGACAAGCAGGTGGACAAGCTTGTGGCCCTAATAGACAATGGCCGAAATGAGGATTACAGACAGAACAAAACCGCACGGGTCGCTCAATTGACGGCCATGAAAAAAGTTGGTAAGAATATCCAATAAAATATATACTGAGACCGACCCTCTTCACTCACTCTGTGTTCTGTATTCCAGACCAACTGATGGCAGCTGGATTGATCACACCCGTCACAGCTCCTGTAATGGTTACATCTGGTCTTCCCGCACACTACCACCAGTCGAACAACTTTAAGCCCTTGACGCCTATAAAGGAGCTCTCCTCCCGTGTCTGGGACAGCCAAACGCCGGGCATTGGAAGCAAGTCGGGCGGCAGTTGCTGCAAGCCAAAGAAAAATAAGAAGACGAAGCCAGCCCTAGAGCTGGATCCAAGCCATCTATGCAATCGTGATAATATCTATGCCACGCCCTTCTATCGACAGCTCAGCATTCTGCTGCTCAGAGCCTTCCTACTCATTTGGCGGGACAGTTCGCTAACCACGATGCGATTTGCCATACATCTTATCACTGGCCTGATGATAGGAGCTTTGTATTTCGGAATCGGCAATGATGCCGCCAACACGCTGAACATCTTTCGCTACGTTTTCTACACGATCATGTTTATCATGTACTGTGCCTTCTCCGGGATACTAGTTAAATGTAGGCCACCCTATGCAGTTGATTGTGTAAACCCTTCCTTTAATTCAAACTATAATTCTAATTTTTAGTTCCTTTGGAGTTCCCGATTGTGTCCCGGGAACATTTTAACCGCTGGTACTCCCTGCGAGCCTACTACGTGGCCATTACTGTGGCAGATCTCCCAATACAGATCATATGCAGTGCACTGTTCATAGTGCCCACGTATCTGATGACCCATCAGCCTATGGAGTTGTGGAGGTTCGGTCTGTTCTTTCTCATCGTGTTCCTCACAGCTCTGGTGGCCCAAAGCATTGGACTGGCGGTGGGCGCGGCGTTGAGCCTAAAAATGGGCTCTATTCTGGGACCCTTCTTCATTTGCCCCTTTCTTCAGTTCAGCGGATTCTTTTTGATGGAGAAGGATGCTCCCATCTACATGCGCTGGATGTTCGACATATCGTTTCTTAAATACAGTCTGGATGGAGCTATGATGGCCATTTTTGGGTACGGTCGAGAGCGCCTCGACTGCCAGGAGATGTACTGCCACATGACGCGTCCCAAATATATACTCAAGAACTTGGACATGGCCGAGGCCAACTATGAGTTAGCCATCTTTTTTCTCCTCTGCCTGTTTGTCTTCCTCCGCATCATTGCCTTCTACATTATGTCGTTTCGACTCAGACTGTTCAGATGAGGAGGTTGGCGGCGATGAGACGCTTACAGAAGAGGAAGGAAACCTCCTGCCACATTCCGGATGACAGATTGAAGCTGGATTTAAATTTATGGTTTCTTTTAAAGCATTTATTTGAAAGGAACTTTTGTGCCAAAGATTGAAGAAGTCTAGAGTAGATCATAAGGAAATCGTGATACATAACTGAAAAGAATACCCCACCCCCTCCCCCATACAAACATAAAATGATACATTACAGAGATCAATGCTGTATATACGTATAACATTTTTATAACATACATAGTGTACACACAATTGTATTTTTGTATTGTATTAATGAACGATTTATTGACTAGTTTTAAAGCGAGTCTGATTTTCAGTCCTTATTAAAATACTTTCTGAAGAGGGTAAACAATTTTGATTTTAAAACTGCTGTTGTTTGAACTGGTTAAGTCATCACATTTTAACGTAATGGTTTTACAATCTTCTAAAAATAATTTTCAGTTTTTGTTTATTTTAATATTTAATTTTGATACTTCAAAACGCAATTTTTTTTAACGGAATGTCTTATTTATCCAAAGAAAATGAATAGCTTCTTTTAATAAAAAGTTTTATTTTTGAAACTTTCTTGAATGACAATAAATGAAGGAATTATTGTAGTAACTTTATGTTATTGTATTATTTCAATGCGTAACAAAAAATGTTGCTTGTGGTATTCATATTTTGAATAAAGTGAAAATAAGAAAGAAGAAATGAATATAAAATAATAGTAAAAATAATTATTCAGAGTCAGAGCTGGACTTAGAACCGGAAACATCAGAAACCGAGTGTGCGTGTGCTTCAGTCGGGAATTGTAAAATTTTTGTTTTCTTCATTCCAGCGCTTTTTTCGACAGCATGCCTGTTGGTAAAAGAAAAAGGAGATGTAAATATCGGGCCGTAGAATAAGATTTTATGGAGGGGATCACCTTTTTTGGCAGATTGGCAAACTTCAAATGCTGGAAAAATATCGGCATTTCGCATTTTCGCACCAGCTTAAACTAGTTTGTAGGAGTTCTTTGTAAGGCCTGCATCAATGTAAAGCTAAGCTAAGTCTTCTTTTGGTGTGTACGGAATAGGAAGTTGAGCGACTGATTCAAGGAACTCCTTAATTTTCCTTTGTTGAATTCACATCAGCTTGCAGCATTGACATAACTTTGGAAGCATTTCGTTTTCCAGCCTTAAATAAACTAACTCGTGCCGGACTCAATATTCACGGCGGAACACTTATAGTCCAGGTTCAACAAGACCTGGAATTCCTGTGCGTAAAACTGATTCTCCCAGGCTTTTCCATTTTCATTACTTGCTCGAATATTCCATCTTCCTCGGATATCTTAATATACGAGCGTCACCTGTCCGCTTTAAAGACCATGTCTGGACGTTGTATGCATGCTCCCACAGTGGCCCCGCCGCCCGTCGCGCGCCCCCCCCCTCCCCCAACCGCCGGGCGCGCGCGTGCCGACGCGGCGGAAAGGGTAGCTAATCGGGAAAAGCTCACCTAATCGTTGGTGGTTGTATTGTGGTGGGTGATCCCGGTCGTGCAAGATAATTCTAGGGGGTGGTTGGCGATCGCGGCTACTGGCCCCCCGGTTGTGCTAACCCCCTACTGGTGGGGTATAGTGGGGCCCCTTCCAATGCGTTCGGGCCCCCCTGCTGCGGGTCGTCAAACCTTGACCACCCTTATAAACCATATGATAGTTGTTGCTGATGTCAACTTGCCAAGTGCTGTTTGGTCTTCGGTAAACGAGTCTAAGTCTCAAGTAAACCATGTGAAAAATTCCTTGGGTCGATTGCTTGATCTGTGCTTTGTCTCGGATCCGACCATAGTGTTGCTAACCCGAGCCCTTCCGCTCACTATACCTGAAGACTCCTACCATCCTATATTCGAAGTGTTGGTCAATATTGGGCCCACTGTATTGGATCGAATGGGTAGGCTATCTGAACATGTCCGCTGCTTTCGTAAAACCGATTTTACGAAGCTTAGAGGTTCATTAGGGATTTTGATTGGTCCGCTTTGTACTTGTGCACTGACGTTCTGAAAGGCACAAACATTTTTTACAATGTACGTGACGTGTACACTTTTTGATTCTTGTGTCCCACTTTCTTGTCCGGTTATACCTGAGAAGCCTCCTTTGTTTACCAAATAGTTATCCAGTCTAAACTTAAAATCCAGACTTTATACAAAATTTCAATAAGTTGCTTCTCTTTCTCTCTCTGGCTATGTAATAGCTCAGTCAAATTTCTCCGTTCTTAACGCGCAATGCTATAAAAAATTACCTATCTCAATGCAGGGTACGATTTTCACAGGTTTCTCAACAGTTTTACAGCTTCGTAAATAGTAAGCGTAGAATGTCCGCACATCCATCCTCGCTATCATTTTCTCAATATGTCAGCAAACAATGATTAGGCAATTGCCCATCTTTTTGCCAAATTTTTCCAAACAAGCTATTCTCATGAAAGCTACTCTGGTTAGCCGTATACATACAGTTTACCAAGGTCGAACGGCATTTTCGGCATCGCGTTAAATGAAAGCTAACTGCTTCACCACGCTCTGTGTGGACCCCTGCTTAAAATATTCACCCATTATCCATATCCATTAATTCCTCATCTCATGCTTTTCCCCGATCTGGAAGAAATCTTTTATCACTCTTCTCCATAAGAAAGGTAGCAAGTCTGACGCAAAGAATTATGTGTGTAAGTTATCCGCTATTCCTAAAATGTTTGAAAAAATGTTAACTCCGCATTTGCAACATCTCTAAAAATTACTTATATCTCCAGCTCAGCACGGATTTATAAGGCGACAATCAACAACCAAAAATTGATTAGAGTTTAACTCTTTTATCATTAAAGGCTTCCAAGATAATGTGTATACGGATGTTATTTAGACCAATTTCAGTAAAGCAATTCGACTCTGTAAACCACTCCCTTCTATCACAAAAACATGACCTTTGAGGGTTTCCGCCCAAACTTTTGGGATGGAAAGGCAGCTACTCTGTTCTAGGTCTCAAAGAGTCCTTTTTAAAAACTCCTTCTCTTCACATGTTACGACTATTGCGCTGGATCCAAAAAGGTGAAGAGCACGAGGCCCGGTGCAAGCTACTTCCACTCTGAGGAAACGGCATCATCCTCAGGTTTGAGAAGGAGGAGCTTCCGTCGGCATTTGTTGCACGCGAGGCGGCGAGGCTCAATCTGTCCCTGCCGGTGACCGAGCATAGGCAGGCACATCCCGCCCAGGCGTCTCCGCAACAGGCGCAGAAGCGTAAAAGGCAGGGAGGACGCCATTGTTGCGTAAGCAGCAATATCGTAGAGAGACGCCGTCGTCAGACGACCGAATTTATTCGTGTGACGAGCTTGCTCCGCGAATGGGCCCGGCTCAGCAGAAGAAAAGGTCAAAGGTCAAATCGGCCGATACCGCAACCAGACACGCGCCTGCCGGGACAGTGCAGCAAGGAAATTGCTCCGGGCATCATGGAGTCGTCGGCGCCACCTGGTTATGGTATTTATTTTTATACTCGTACTCAAAAAGAGTTAAGGGGTATATTGTATTTGTGGTAACAGTGGATTCCTTCAACGCAAAGAAGGAAACGTTTCCGACCTCATAAAGTATATATATTCTTGATCAGCATCAATAGCCGAGTCGATATAGCCATGTCCGTCTGTCAAGACGGCTTGATGAGCGCATAGATCTCAGAGACTATGAGAGCTAGAGCAACAAAATTTTGTTTCCAGACTCATGTGATATCACACTGCTATAAGTGTATTTCAAAAATACGCCCCGCCCCCATAAAGGACGAAAATCTGTGGCAGCCACAATTTTAAAGATACGATAAAACTTCAAATTTATTATCGTAGAGAATGACCATATCTACCAGATTGAAATTAAATTTTCAGTTGCTTCCACCGCCTCCACCAGCAAGAGACCCGCTACTCATTCTCTTTATCGCTCGCACACTCTGCCGCGTTATGTACGCGAGCGCCCTCTAGCGGAGGAGATGTAGAATCTAAACATGTAGAATGTAAAATACACGTGTTACACGTACACACACACACATGCTTGCTGTCAGTCGGCTCGTGTCACGTCATGAGACGAACGCGGTCGATCCCAGAGCCAAACGCCGTCGGTCCCAGAGCCGAAGACCGTACGGTGAAACCTCAGCTGCGCCGCTTTCGTTGTATGATCTGGCACATCTATATACTGTATGGTTAGTGCTTGAACTCAATTTCAACGTCAACATATCTCGAAAAGTATGCGCGTCAACGGTCACCCTGTATAAATGCAAAATATATATCGATATATTATCTATCGGTAATCAAATACACATCAAATTTAAAATTTGAGTTCAGATTTAGCGGAATTTCAAACATCAAAATATCGATAGTGGTGTAACGAGTGAATTGTTTCCGGTAAATTAATGCATTTTTTGACTATATGGTCTAATATTGAAAAGTATGCAAATATCATCCCTGAATTATTTCTGCTACATGGCAAATACACAGAGTAGAATTTGTCGCGGCGCCAATGACGACAAACTTTGCGATGCACAGTGGTCAAAATGTTCACTGAAAGTAATTGAAAAAACGGTGCTCGGTTTGAATATAAATGGAAAGTTCGCCCGCTGGCGATTGGGAGTGCGTCGCGTCTGTCGCGAATGTTAATTGACTGAAACTGATGCCCACTGGGGGACATCAAATTGTGATACGAAGTTGATTTGTTTATTTACTCTTCCCTAACCATAACCATAACCATAAACAATAAAAGTGCATATCTGGACGTGTTTAAATGGTTAAACTATAAGTATATAAATTGGCATTCGTTGGGAAAACATTTGGAGTCAATGCGGGAAACCAGTTTTATGACCAACCTGTGTAAAAATACATAAATGTAATAGTAATTGCTTAGTTCCATTAAGTAATGCTCATTGCCTTGTGTAAATGCAAACTTCCCGGTTTTATAGAAGTATTCACTGATAAGCAGCTGCTGCTGCAACTGCTGAATGCACAACAAAAAGTTCCGATCCGATCCCAAGTGCAATTTCAGTTAGACATTTTGTATATGACGCAGTTTGATCTAGACATACATACATATGCACATACATATTTATGTATGTGGCGGTCTTTGTTTCTTTTTGGACCAATTGTATCAATTACCCAATTAATAATTTACCCGGGTTTCTCGCATGTTTGCCGGCTGATGGATTTTGAAGCCGCCGGTATGCAATATGTATGTATGTATGTATGTACATATGTTAGACTGTGGGATTATTAAAAATTCGCTTCGCGAAGTGTAAATATTTATTCGCTGATAGTGCAAGTGAGTCAATAAAATTGCTGTGCATATATGGGTCTATGCCGACGGTGAGCATGCATTTTCCGATTGCACTTGTACTAGATTATAGTTCAAGCGCAGACGAGACGACAGCTATCCATTAGCCATCAGCTAAGCTAATCTAATCTACAGACCTCGGACTATACATTTTAAACTAGAACCTGCAGATCCGATTGCAGGCGAGCTCAGTCTGGTTCCTGGGCAACAGGTTTAGTCGGGTTGGACGACCTTGATCAAATCCATCAAGCCTCGGGCGATAAGATTATCCATGACTTCTTCCCCCTGAGCGTCTCGTCTTAGCCGTTCGGTAGATAACCGAAAGCTCCGACTCGGGGTCGGCTCCCATGCAGGGGGCACTCGCATCGCATTCGAAATTTAAAATAACTTTGCATTCAATAAGAGTTACTGAAAGCAGTCGGCGGTTCAGTGTTTCGGTGGTTTGTTGACCGCCTGGATAAGGGTGCTGCAATCTCTCGCATAAACAAACTTGGCACATACTATACAGAATTGCTGGTTCGAATCGATCATAAATAAAGAGCAGCAGACGTACAATGCCCGATAACGACGACGACAACGTTGGAGAAAGGCAGACAAATGGCTTGGCCCACACCAGACAGCAGTCGTTGGAGCTGCATTTCAGCCAAGTCAGCTACCACCTGAAGAGTGGTAAGTCGCATCCATCGAGCGCATTCATTAAGTGCTTTACAATTTGGTACTCCTCCGTTAGCCACAAATGGTTTCACTCAGATACTGAACGAGGCATGCGGAACCTTCAAGTCGGGCCGACTGACGGGCATTCTGGGTCCGTCAGGGGCTGGTAAATCCACATTGCTCAATGCTCTGGCTGGTTTCAAGTGAGTGAGCCAATAATTAGCCGATTAGCCTCTGGAGCTGACTAAACACAATCATGCCTATCCAAACAGAATAAGGGGAGTTTCGGGGCAATTCCTTTTGAATGGTCGGCCCAGAGATCTGATGGCCTTCAGAAAAATGTCGGCCTACATTGCACAAGACTTTGTAATGCTGAATCTGCTGACTGTCGAGGAAACCTTGTGGGTCTCGGTAGACCTGAAGACGCCCAGTGCAACAGCCGCGCAGGAGAAGCAAAAGATTGTTAGTAGGCGAAGATCACTAGGCAGGCGCATTGCTAATCACATAAAAGTACTCCCTAGATAGATGACATCATAGACATTCTGCAGCTCCAGTCTTGTCGACAGACTTTAGTGGGGAACATCTCAGGGGGCGAGCACAAGCGGCTGTCCATTGGTATCGAGCTTGTTACGAATCCCCCCATCATGTTCTTTGACGAGCCAACCAGTGGCTTGGATTGTGTGGCCAGTTACCAGGTGATCTGCCACCTGCAGCGCCTGGCCCATGATGGAAGGATTGTGGTGTGCGTGGTGCACCAGCCAGGCTCGCGCCTAATGCAGCTGTTCGACGATGTACTGGTTTTGGCTCATGGCGAGGTCTTGTACGCCGGAGAGCAGCGAAATATGCTGGCCGATTTCGCTACATCTGGCTACACCTGTCCCCAGTACTACAACCCAGCAGATTTTGGTAGCGAACATATACAGATAATAGAGAATCCTAACACCATTGCTTCTGCCCACAGTGCTGGAAGTGTGCAGCGAATCCTCCACCACGGAGCGTTGCGAGTCGCTAATCTCCCAGAATAAAGGAAGACATAGCCCCAGCAGCACCTACGTCGAGAAGCTCAATGTGGGTGATGAGGGTAAGTCGCACAGAGTATGCCTCTAAATGTGAATCTGAGGATCTTAAGTATGATTTAAACAGACCCATCTTTCCACATTGCATTCTTCTTGTCCTTCTCTGCCCCCCCTTACTCTGTTACTCTATCCTCTGCTCTATCTGTCGCCCTTCTTTGCCTGCTTTTCTTCCATTTCAGCAGCGCTCATCCAGATGCCCCAACAAGCTGCCTGGCCAGACCTGCGCCAGCTGCGTGCCAAGGAGCAGGTGGGGTTCTGTTTCCAGCTTCGAGTGCTGCTTCGGCGGCACCTGCGCTCCATGTCCAGGGATATGGTGAGTGAATCTTGGACACCGATCGCTTCGGAATAACGCTATATTTATACCCTTTACCCTTCCTTCTCCACGCAGTTGGCCGTCCAGCTGCGACTTATTATGCATGTGGTGATCGGTTTGCTCCTTGGCGTGGTTTACTGGCAAATAGGTAGCGATGCCGCCAAAATAGTGTCCAACGTCTCTTGTCTGTTCTTCATGATTCTGTTTGTGTTCACGGGCAACGCCATGCCCTCGATCTTGCTGTGCCTGCAGGACTCTGCGGTCTTCATCAGGGAATACTACAACGGCTGGTACTCCCTACGAGCCTACTACATATCCAAGGTGCTGGCGGACTTGCCCCTCCAGCTGACCTGCCCCACGATGTTCATCAGCATCAGTTACTTCATGACAGGCCAACCGCCGCAGTTCGACCGCTTTGCCATGTGCTGGGCTGTCTGCTTGATGACAGGATTTATTGGCCACTTCATAGGCGTGGTTGCCGGTTCGCTGTTCTCCATGCAGCTGGCCATCTTCCTGGTGCCCAGCGGGACGATTCCGTTTCTCCTCTTCTCCGGCTTCTTCATTCGGTTGAATGAGCTCTCCTGGTTCCTGCGTCCCATCTGCGATGTTTCCTTCTTCCGCTACATATTCGAGGGTCTTCTGCGAGCCATTTATGGCTATGGCCGAGGCGACCTGGACTGCCATGCGAATTTTTGCTACTACAGAAGAGCAGATCAGTTTCTCATGGATTTCGGCATGGGGGGCGATGAGTTCGGCTGGGACCTGGCTGTGCTGGGTGTGTACGTCGTGCTGCTATTGGTTTCCTTTTACGTGACACTAAACGTTTGCATTAGGCGAGCCCTAAGGTGACCCGTGAAGTACAATTTCTTAGTTTTCCAATGTAATTCATGAAAATAAAGTATTTCTACAAGTGGAGAAGAGCATCGCCGGGGTGTAACCTAGTCAATAGACACACTGGATATGTCCATGGAGCTGGCATCATCCGAGGGTGGTCGCTCGGAGGGATTTTCTGCCCGGCTCCCCGACGTCCCAGGCGTCTCCTCAACCGCCGGTGTGGTCACGGTCGCTGTCGTTGTAGTGGTGGTACTGCTCGCTGCTGGTGTCAGACTTGCACGGCTGGAATGCGTTCGACGCATCCCCTCCGACAGAGATCGGCCCGCACGTAAGCTGCTTGATGCGCCACTGGAGCCAGCGGCCGTAGCCGTCGTGGAGGTGGTCGTTGTCGCTATGGAGGTGAAGGGCACGCGTACACGCATATCTGGCACCTCCCACTCCATGTCCTCCTCCTCCTGCTCCTCCTCGGAGCTCGTCTCGGCAGTGGCCACAGCAGAGGGAGTCTTTGACTTCTTCTGCCACTCGGCACTGCGCTTCCAGTCAATTGTCTTAAGCAGCGCCTTGGCCTCCGTCTTACGCTGAAAATCAAATTCGAATTTATTATTATCAGTGGGGGGAATCACTTCTGAGGCAGTACCCACTTCATCAGAGTCCAAGCATTTGTACGCATAGTAGGCTGCCCTTTCATAGTCCCCTTTTTTCTCGTAGTAGTTCGCGAGAGTGATGAAGCCTTGGTACAGACTCTGCTTGTCTGTGGCTGCCCGCTCATCCTCACAATACATGATGTAGCAATGGACCGCCGTTTCGTGGTCGCCTAGCTTCTCGTGGAGACTGGCCAGCTTGTACATGGCTATGCCCTCGATGTCGCCCACGTCTATGGCCTTCCAGTAGCACTTTACGGCGTTCTCGCACTTGTCCAGCTTCTCGTAGGTCTCTCCCAAGGCTACCAGCATGCGGGAGTCATATGGGCGTAGTTGGTGGGCGATTTTGAAGTAGTACAAGCTGTAGTAGTGCATTTTAATGATCTCATAGGCCTGCCCCAGGCCATACCACGCCCGATAGTCGCGCTTGTTAACTTCCACTGCTTTGCGGTAGCTCTGTATGGCAGCGTTTGTGTTTTTGAGTTCCATAAACTCGTGGCCCATCAGAGTCCAGGCAGCGAGGTATTTGGGATTCAGCTTCAATGCGCGCTGAAAGTAGGATATGGCCACCTGATGGTCGCAGCGTATGCTGTAGTAGTTTCCTGGCGTATTGCAGAGAATGCTGTAGTTAATTAAAGGATTCGTGCGATGTGATGTGCGCCAAAATGCACTTACCTATCACACAACATGTCTCCGGTCGGTATTTATTGATGCTGACGGCCTTGTGTGCCAGCTGTGCCATTTCCGTTTTCATTTCTTTGACAAAAAGTAAATTGGAGTAGGTATCCACGTTGTCCAGTCGGTAGGGATCGCTCTCCAGCAGAGCCTGATACAGCTCGATGGCCTTGTCCACATCCCTCTTATTGTGATAGACTAGGGCCATCTGAGCAATCAAATAAATGCTTTTACTGAAGCCCGACGTCTGCAGGTCCTCGTAGATCTTCAAGCCATCATCGTTGAGGTACAGCTCGAGGTAGGTGTGAGCCATGAAAAAGTGTCGCATCCAGTGCCCGCCAAGTTGCAGCCCGAGCAGCTTTTTTTTCTCCATTATCAACGGGGAGAGCTCCAGGTAGGCACTCCACAGCATGGGGACTAGACGAATGGCATGGACCAGCATTTGTTCAGCAGCTTGGTTCAGATTGAGGGCTTTTAGAACCACTCCATATAGGTAAATCCCGTATCCATCCAGGCGGCTCTTACCGTACTCCGCTCTCAGTGTCGCGAGCAGATCGGCCAAATCACGCATCTGGTTTGGCTCGTTGAGATTGGCTTGGTCGGTGGTGGAGTCCAGCCGTCGCTTTTCACGTGCCAGATAGGTCGAGTAAAAGTGGAGGAAGCGCGGCACACTCGACTCGCAGTTCCTCACGGCATGCGCTGCCCTCTCGTACTCGCGCACATCGTAGTAGCTTTTGGCCAGGAAGTAGTCACTGTACTCCGCAGGAGCTATGCCCTCCAACTGGCACTGGCTGAATGTGTGGTCGTCATCGGGGGCTTCATTATCAATTTGTACATCACTGAGGCCATGGTGCATCTCTGCCAGCCACTTGGTGCTGTGCAGGAGTCCTCGCTTGGAGCACTCGATAATTCCGCGCCGCAACTCCTTTTTAACATCTGGCAAAAGCACGCTAAAGAACTCCTGCATTTTATTTAGAGTTTTGAGTTTCCTGCACAAAACAATCAGTGTGACCGCGGATTTACCGCCTGAAATATACGTGGAATATACCGCATGACCCTCAGAAATATACCGGAATATACCGAGGAAAAAACGAGCTTAGCCCACTTAACCCCCTTCTATTTAAACAGTTGAACACCTTGAGTTAAACCGCGGATAATAATACTCTTTTTATAAGCTCCTTGTGGGTCCATCCCTCTTCCTTTACCTACAAAAAAAATCCTACCACTAATATTAATAGGCGTAAAAGTAATTCCAATTTTTCATAATATTCGTGGGAAAATTAAATACCCCCTGGGTCGACAATGGGCTAACGTTGTTTTTTGTTGATCGGAAAATAGATTGCTGACCATAACAAAGTATGCAATAACGATAAGGGGCAACAACAAATATTATTAAAAACTGCCTCTTTGTTAAAACCTTTTCAGACAAGCGCGTCTTCCCATCGAGGAAGGGAATTTAACAACTAAAACTCCCCTGCAGACACTGTGAAAGGTCAGAACAAAGGTTCTCCTACTCTTGCTCTTGCCACTACTTGAAACTGCGCAAACAAACAACAATATTTAAATGAATTGGCTGTTATTGGCTGATTCATTTATTTCCGACTGACGGTGTTTCGACCTTTATTTGTGACGCACAAGACACATCGCACCATGAGACTCAGCTCGGGAATCCTGCTGGTGCTGCTACTGACCGCTCTGTTGGAAGCAGCGGACTGCTCTTGGCCCTGGCCTTTTTCCAGGAAGCACAATCAGAATATGCCGACGCCGCCGCCCACGCCCCCGCCAGAGCCCAAAATGTCTCCAGTAATATTTGGTGAGTTTATTGATTTTCTGCCCAAGGATGACCAAGGGTGACCTTATTTTCGGATTTTAGTGCCAGGTGATGGCGGCTCACAGCTAGACGCGCGCCTGAACAAGTCGAGTGCTCCCTACTTTGTATGCCAGAAAACCCATGACTGGTTTAATCTCTGGCTCGACCTGGAGCAGCTGGTGGTGCCTATGGTGTACTGCTGGATAGACAATGTCAAGTTGTACTACGACAAGGCCACCCGTACGACGCACAATACCCCGGGGGTGGAGATCCGGATACCTGGTTGGGGTAATCCCGAGGTGGTGGAGTGGATAGATCCGACGAAGAACAGTGCTGGGGCGTATTTCAAGGACATCGCTAACGTGCTTGTGAGCATGGGCTATGTGCGGAATTTGAACATACGCGGAGCACCCTACGACTTCCGCAGAGCACCAAGTGAGATAGTTTTAGTATTTCACTACAAGTGCATGTTATTAACAGTCTTAAACATCTCTGCAGATGAGAATAAACAGTTCTTCATCGACCTTAAGCAGCTTGTCGAGGAGACCTACGAGGTGAACAACCAGTCAGCCGTCACCTTCATAACTCACAGCATGGGCAGTCCAATGACCCTAGTTTTCCTGCAGCAACAGACCCTAGAGTGGAAGAATAAATATGTAAGACGGCAGATAAGTCTGGCTGGCGCGTGGGCTGGCAGCATAAAGGCAGTGAAAGTCTTTGCCATGGGCGATGATCTGGACTCGTTCGCTCTGAGTGCCAAGATCCTTAGGGCTGAGCAGATAACACATCCTTCGTCGGCTTGGCTACTGCCATCGCCGTTGTTCTGGAAGCCGTCGGATGTTCTTGCCACGACCCCCTCTCGGAACTATACTATGGCACAGCTCAAAGAGTTCTTCAATGATATCGACTACATGACGGGCTGGGAAATGCGTAAGGACACAATGCGCTATAGCCAAAACTTCAGTCCCCCCGATGTTGAGCTGCATTGCCTATACGGCGACGGCATAGACACAGTCGAGAGGTACTCTATCCTTGGCGACAGACTTAAGATTTTTAAACCGATTTTATATCCCATATCCCACAGATTACAGTATAAAAAGAATAATATTGCCGGACAAACACCCAATCTAATCATGGGCCCGGGCGATGGCACTGTGAACCAGCGTTCGCTACGGGCCTGCAAATACTGGTCGGGATACACGAGCTCCCCCATTTCGACGTTGGCCCTGCAGGGTGTGGACCATATAAAGATCCTATCGAATGAAGATGTTCTCCAATATGTTCGCACTGTTATCCAGCAGCCGTAGTCAGAAAGTTTGCCTGTTTTATTAGACTAAGATGTTTTGTTTCTGGTACGAAATATCCAAAAAGATGATCTGTGTAAACCTTTACGATCAAATAATGCCAATTTTAATTTTAAATAAATGTGATTGTTTAAATAGTACAAGTCGAAACGAGTTTTCAGAATTCAGGCCCCTCCCCTCCCCAGAAGCCCCACAAGCAACTCGTGCAAATTGCATTTTCTTTAATTTATTCTTTATTGTTATCTTATTGATTTATGCTTATAAGATGAGATATCGAATCACGTGTTAATGTTAATGTCAATGTATAACGCTCTTTATTACTCATTAGTGTTTCATTTTTCGTTTTCATTTCATTCTGGTTTAGTTTTTATTGTTTTTCATTTTCATGTTCCTTTTAATAAATCGTTTGTTTATATGTATTTTACAAAGCGTTTACTTAGATGTATTTCCTTTTAATCATACCGAATAATTTGTTTTATTGCACTAGTATTTAATTCTCTTCTCTCACTTTCCCCTCCACCTTGCTAATTTATTGTAGTTGACATTGTTCTTTACTCTTGGTAAATTTCCCTTAAAGGAAATGCTCTTTTCTATGCACTTATTTACGGTTCGGGTCGGGTACTTCGATATCTGGGTAGATATTGAGAAAAGTGTCCTCGGACAGCATGTGCTCAAAGGGGCGAATCTTTTCTTTTTTAGAAGTTTCGCTTGCGTTTAGGCGAAAACTAAAGTTTCTGAATGATTTGCGTGTCCGAAACTTGGCTTTAGATAAAATCAAGAAATTTATATGCATGTATATTTACAAATTGTATCCTCATACAAAAACCGCTCTCTATGCTAAAGTGTGGACATTTTCCTAGAAATTGTGGCTGCCTTTGGGCTGGGTTCTCGCTCTCTCCACTGGGGCTTACAAAGCATATTACTCGTATTTTATTTTATATTTCGTTAGGTGATCAATTTGTGCGGGTGTCCTTTACTTTATTGGTTTGCTAAATATATACATACACCTTTATATATTTAGTATATATTTGATTTTATGTTCCTGCGTGTCAGTGTAATGTGTGTCTGTTGTGAGTCTGTTGAGAGTTGAATTTAAAAAATGTTTTCTTTTGTTTGTGTTAGTATTTGGTTTTGGGTGTTTGTCTTTGTTCAACAAAATTTGTGCTCTCGTTCCATAGTTGCAGTTAGGGTTTACATATGTATTTATGTATGCACACATATAGCATATACATATATGTAGCTATAAGTATGACGTACTGTTTGTTTGACTCAAATCATTGCGATCTCAAAATCAATACCCCAAAAATTCTCGGCTTCGAGTTCAAAGTTTTGCCGCTCTCGTTCAAAGAGTTTTACGTTTAGTATAAAAAATCATTATATCGAAAGTATAAAAATCGTATTTAGCCGTACATACTCTTTCTTTTCGTTTGTCTCATATTTTTATATCTGTTTTTTTTTTGGTTTCGTTTTATTTCCGTTTTTCGTTATTAAATCTCTGTTCTTTTTTTTTTTAGTTTTCTTAGCAAAAGCGGGTGTATCTTCTTCAAGCAGGTATTCGAATGTTACTTGGCAGGATTATTATTTTCCATAGTACATATATATATAATATATTTGTTGTTAAATAGTTTTATAAAAGCTTTGTATTCGAGTTGTGTGTGTGTGTGTGTGGTTCTGTTGTGGATTATGTATGTATGTATGTATGTGTGTACGTATGTATGTATGCATGTGGTGTTCGTAGGCCTGTTCTGCTCTGTTCTTTTGTATAATCGTATTTTTATTTGCCTTTTGTTTGGATTTATATCTAGTTTTATGCTTCGTTATTGTTTTATCAGATGCAATATTTAGAACTCACAATAGGCGTTGCCATTGACAACATAGCTGGCTAGTTAATTAATTAATGAAATAATTAATTACCGCTGCTCAATAGGTATCTACAATGGAATTCGCTATCAATGGGAATGATATCAAAATTGATTATTCTTAAATACACGTTGTATTACATTCCTTTTGGGGTTTCGTCTTGTAATTAAATTAATTAAAGCTTTTTCGTGTGTATGTGTCTGTGTGTGTTTAATCTTGATTCTAATAAATTGTATATATTTGTAATGAGAAAACAAAATTTCATCCGAATCCAAAAAACATTCAACAAACCAAACCAAATCAAATCAAATGAAATCCTATTTACAATTGGATAATTTACTACTTACTCGCTTATCTACGTTTAGTATTCATTTCAATTTGATCGAATTGAGTTGCTGTCATCCCCCTCTGGTTGCGGGGGTTCATTAACCATTAACTAGTCTCCTACATGCATTCACTATTTGCTTACACATCAGATTTATCAATGTCGTTAATACAATTGAATTGCCATGAATATATTGCTAATATAGTTCCTTCCAAGGACCTTTGGGCCAGATCAATAGACCTGCCATCCCATCTCATGCCATCCCGAAAGGAACCCTGATTGGTGCTTCGGCTGGCCGAGACTACTTATTGCATAACAATTTTATCCATCTTAGACTGTAACTAGACTAGCCCTCCTCGGCTGGCTCTGTTCTTCTCTTCTCTTCTCTTGTCTTCTTTACTTTGCTTTGCTTTGCTTACTTGCGTTTGCGCTACACATTTGTAATTAGTTTAGATATCTAGGGCTAGGTTAAGGTAATAATTCTTTCCTTTGTGGCTGTAATTTATCCAAATCATCATCACATATCAAAAAGTTTACAAAAATTTCACTTTAGCTTCAGTTTCTCCATCTTGCTCGTTGATGTTTTATGTTTAGTTCATTTCGTGCGCTTCGAATAAAACATACAACAATAGACCGTTTTACTGGCGGTTATGGTTCTCCTCGACCCAAACAACATATCTCGTTATGTCTTTTGTTAATGATTAACATAATCAACAGGTTGATATACATATATTCTAAACAAATTAGCTTCGCTTGTAGTTTCGCAGACATTACGAATATAATATCATGTAAACCGTAACGCTCCTCCTCTCTTATTATCCACTAACATTGGTTTGCTTAGCTTTTCAATTTCATTTCCAGTTGATCATATACCGTTCTCGGGAGACTTTTCGTGTAGTGTTAGTGACGTGTGGGCATGTAAAAGGCATTTGTTCGGTTTCTGTGATTCCTCCTTTAAAATTATTTGTATTTTAAACATTCGTTTGGTTTCATGCTCGCATATACGAGTACATACATACATATGTACCCCACAAGGGTGAACAAGGGTCCTAGGGGCTTACTTTTCCGTTGGAAGAACTCAACTCAACTCAGCCGAAAGCCCAGAAAGCGCACCTCAGTCGGGCAGCGAAATAAATTATGTTTTGGTTGAGTTTCAACAATCTGGCAAATCGTAACTATCGTATTTATTTGGTAAACTAAAGCGTGATCTGAGGCGCATTAAGTTCGCGCGTGATATATTTCAAAACACTTGTGTAATCGCATTGGCTCCAAACAAAATTGACATTTTCAAACTGGTTTAAAAACTAATATTGCTCTTGGTCAAACGAGTTAAGAGTTTAGCGATCGATCCTTTGCGTCTAGTAGTCCTTTTGGAGTTTAATTCTCCTCTGCTGTAACAACAATTCCTTATAAGCTTACGAGTCCAAAACGAAGGTCTAGTTCAAACAGAAACAGAACGATTTTGTTGCTTAGAGTGTAAATCAATAAAATTGTGTCTAATTGATGTAACAATTGCTTTTGTTTGGTTTATGTATCAATAATCTAACGTAACGCACACGCCACCGGTTTCAAAACTCTAGGAGTATTTTTTTATTTGCATGTAATACGAGTATAGACAGACAAACGAACAGGAGAGGTTAAAATGCTGGGATTGAACACACAAATATGCACGGCGTGCGCGTCCCTCCTTCTATTTGACGACGCTTTAGCTTTAATTAACATTATTCACAATTTCTTTAGTTATCATCTTACTATACAAGCTCTCTCTCTCTCTCTCTCGTCTACGCTTTGCTTAATTCTTTAACAATATTCTGTCTACTGAAAAATTCCTAACCACTCGTACAATTTTTGCATTCACCTGAAAGAAATCCCTGACAGAGAATTTGCAAATCCTTGAAGCATCTGCTGAAGTTGGGGAAGCGTTTGAACCATTTCACATGTAATTTAGTAATAATTTTCTTCATTTTAATTTTCTGTTAAACATTTCATTCATGTGAACAACTTATTTGGAGCTGACTACGTTCCCGTGTATTGCAAAAATGTGCAAATGTCTATCTGTGTGGCTCGTGTCTGCTGGCGTATGAAAAATTGTTACTAATAATTGTTTACGTTCACGTTAAGCGGAATGACGTTTAGAATGACGTTCCAGCGAATGATTGGATTGGGTATTGGGTGGCTCGTGTAACGACTGTCGATCGAAATGGAATCTCTTGTTGATATCGCAAATGAGAACAGCGACCAAATAAATTAGCCAGGCACATGTTGAATCTCAATCTCTGAACTAGAGCCTGTCCCAGTGTCAGACTGGATGGCTCTGACTCGCCTGCCCGTATTTCGAGGGGGCGGAGGTCTTCTGCTGGCGCGCCACCAGTCGACGCTCCCGCCAACGGTCGATGGGCGTGTAGCAACACCTGAAGAAAGGGGGCGCCCGCGTGCTGGACGAGCTGCTGGCGCTGTTGCTGATCTTGGCCAGCGACTCCACAGTCAGCTCCGTCTGCACGCCACTGGTGGTCAGCCGCGTCTCCGCCTGGTACTGGTACTGTGGCGGCGGAGTCGCGGCCAGGGGCGCACCCGCCTTGCAGATGACACTGGGCGGCTCCATCTCGTGCAACTCAAAGCTGTTTGAGCTGCTGTTGGTCGAGGGCCGAAACTCGTGCGAGCTGCTCTCGACCATGGCAGTGCGATAGGTAGCGGCAAAGTAGTTTGTCTCCAGGTAGTGGCAGGACTCGAACAGATAGTCATCGAACTGCTGCAGCCGCACCGAGCTGGCGGCACTGGAGTTATGCCCGCCAGAGGCAAAGCGCTGGCTCTGCTTGTGGGACTGCGTGGATGGTGATGGCGGCGACGGCGGCATCATTATCAACGAGCTCGACGCCATGGGTGGACGTGGACGCGGAGGCGGACGCTGTTGTCTTTGCTTCATATCAACAATTTCTATTTCTTCTATATCACTAAAACTATTTAACTGTTTCAACAAATAATGCACATCATTTCGTTTCATTTGATTATCCTCGTCGTGGTGGGGATGATCATCGTTAAGGGCGACTGCTTCGTTATCCTCCTCTTCCTCTCCTGATTCTGCTGGTTCTGCTGCTCTTCCAGCTCCTTGTTCTTCCTCCTGCGCCGTTGCTATCGATCTGTGTGCTGCAAATGTTAATGGAGTGCTGGCAACGGCGCCTGAGCCACGATCTAATCTTGGTGTCCCCTTGAGGCTGTTGATCGTCCTGATCGCATCATGCTGCTGCTGCTGCTGTTGTTGCTGCTGCTGCTGCTGCTGTTGGGGAATCAACTCTGGATAGGCCAAATTGAAGCGCTGTTGCAGTGTGGCACTGCTCAGCTGGGGCAGCGTTGTCACTGCCCCCATTGCCGCTGGGGCCCTTTCCAGGGTTGAGTCGATGATGCGGTTGAATTTAGCTAATGCACTTGATGCTGCGGCTGCCGATGAACTGGATGCTGCCGATGGTGTTCTGGTTGCGGTGATCTTAGTTGTAGGTTGTTCGTTAAGTTGAGGCACTGTTGTGACGGTTCGTAGATTATCACCAGCACGATGGCAACGCCCACTGCCCTGATCATTGTCCGCGACGACTGAGCTAAGCTGTTCCTCCTCCTCCTCCTCTTGCTCCTCCAGTTGGCGCTCAGCCTCTTCGTCATCGCAGACATCCTCATCAACATCATCAATATCAACGCCATCCTGCAACGTCTCCTGCACATTCAAATTGAGATTGAGGTGGAGCTGCTGCCGCAGCAGCAGGCGGCTCGTCTTCGTCTCGACGCCAGGCACATTCGGTGGTGCGCCCGCTCCTCCCCCCAATCCACGGCCGGCGGCTATGACGGCCGCCGCCCTCTGCTGTGCCGTTGCCTTAGCTAAATTCTTTTGTAGTATCAACCTCCTCGACGAAATGATGTCATTATTGTCGCTCCCCCGCGATTACCGGCTGTCGCGGGTGGAGCGAGGCCGCCCCTAACTGGACGTGCTGGCGATGGGCGAGACGGGTGACAGCGGGCTGCGGGCCTGCTCGCGCGGGCAGCCAGTCAGCGTGATCACCAGCTTTCGGGAGCCGGCCTGGTCCCGGTGCTCACACAGCCAGACGCCCTGCCACGTGCCCAGCGAGAGCTTGCCGTCCGTAATGGGGATTGTCAGTGAGCTGCCCAGGAAGCAGGCCTTCACGTGTGCGGGCTGCAAGTCACAGCAATGAAAAATCTGGTTAATCTGCGGCTACAGGGATTTTCGAAGGGCATTCACTCACCATGTCGTCGGGTCCCTCGCACGAGTGTCTATAGGGCAATCCTTCGGGAACTATTTTGTTCAACATCATCTCCATATCGTCTCTGCAAAGCGGATTGTCTCCAGATTAGCTCAGTAATACAAGTAATATGTAAGTACAAATATCGATTTAAGATCCTATTCGCTCACCTGACGTCTGGATCCCAGCTTTCGTTTAACGCCAAGCTCGCCGAGGTGTGAAGAACTGCAAGCAGAGAAACGAAGTCAATTAGTGTGTGTGCTGTGCGACTGACTAATCGTAATCATAATCAAAATCATAATCTGTGGAGTGATTGGGCTGCTGGTTATTAGACCAGCACGAGGCGTTGGCTCGGCTCCCAATGCATTTCAAATTGAGTTGCAACGCCAATTAGTCCACACACTTGCACCCAGCAGACCCATCAACGGTGCGGGGGCCAACTAATGAAAGTCAGTCATGGAATGTTAATGGGATATTCATGGATATTCCCCATCATTTATATGACAAGGCAAGATCATGTATGCCGTGGGGATTAGGAATCCGTTCCAGTGTAAGCGTCAATGGATGTTTTCCCCAATTTTATAAGCCACTGAATGAACATTTGCGGGGATTTGGGCTTTACTTTCAACAGTCGACTGTATCTGTCCATCTCTTACGAGTACCCATACCCATCTCGTAGTACCCATAAACTAGAGATCCGCGTGTCACTCACACCATAAATATTCACATACATCTATGTACATATAGTATGTATGCATATACATAAGTCCAATAGATACTTATGAGTACATATGTATGTATATATGTATGTCTGAGTTCACAGCAGTCAGCATTCACCCGATATTTATGAGTTACAATGAAGGAGTGCCCAAAACGAAATGAAAGAAATGGCATATCCGAAGACAATCGAATTATTGTCTGCTCTTTTTATACCCGTACTCGAAAGGTTAAGGGGTGTATTCGATTTTTGGTAAAAGTGCATGTGTGTAGGGCAGAGAACGAAACTTTTCCGACGCCATAAAGTATATATATTCTTGATCAGCATCGGTAGCCGGGTCTCTGTAATATCAAGTTGTGCCTCTCTGGAAAAAGTGTGTTATAGAACTCGGTTTTGCTTTGATGTACATACTTCTCCTGGCTATTTTCTATTTTTGCAGCAAATTGTTTACATGTAAAAAATTTTGCTTGGTTTCAGGACAATAGGTCTTTATTTTGGGTTTTATTTTGGGCTTGTTTCATAAAAATTATTCGACCACGTTTTTGTCTTAGAAAACAAAATAGAAACGCATTTAAATTTGGTTCTCATCAGTAATAAAACGGTTGAAATCGAATTATAGAGGTAATATTTCATCGACTAATGACAAAAAAAGATATAAAATATCTATTCCTGCGGATCCCGCTTTGTTTGTTGTTGTTATTCGTTTCGGAATGGGTCGTGGCGTATATTGTAGGGATATTGAAAGAAAACATATCCTAAATCTAAAAAATGAAGGCCACACAAGGTCAGACACAAACTCCCTGTTTGAAAAATATAAAATATAATCCCTTTCTCTCCTTGGCAGATCAAAAAGTTACCTTAATGCACGGGTTGGTATTCGTACTATAAGAAAAAGGCTGATTGATGTCGATTTACAAGGCCATATAACTCAAAAGGTCCCACTAATTTCCAAAAAAAAAGGGTCAGAAACCGAGTACATTTCTTGAAGGTGCGTTTGTCTCGTCCAAGTTGGATAAAACGTGGTAACGTCAGTTGAAACTAAGGTCAATGTGCTTAGATTTGTTGGGGAACTTCATATTTGGCACCTTAATACTACTTCCCACGACCCAAGGTACTCTGTTAAAGCGGGTATGCATGGTGGTGGGCGCATTCTGTTTTTTGAAAATTATTATTTTGTTATTTTTTGATACATAACAAAAATTTTGATGCAAAAAAATATTGACTAAACAAATTTAAAAAAAATACGGCAAAATGTCCGTTTCTTATATTTTTTCCATTACTGTACATATTCTTTTTCTGATGCACTCGGAATTTAATAAAATACATGCCTGCATGTACAGTACATACATATGTGCGCGTAGTTCCATAACTACAATGATATAGCCATTTGCTCATGGAGTATCGGGTAAACTCTCAAAACAATTTATAATCATCTAATACCTTAAATATTCTCATAAATCCCATTTGTTCTACGTAACATTGGCCATGTCTTATTTGGAATCACTTTTTCTGACACATTTATCGTATGGCATTGGGGTATTGCCAGGTAGAACCTGACATGAGCATGTGTGGACATCGGAATCGGAATGGAACAGCAATTGCCTACACTCGGGGCCGGAATTGGCCAACTGCCAGCGCTAAAATGACCAGCAGAGTCGAAATTGAATAGTTTAAACTGTGTTTAGTGTTAATAATAAATATCAGTGGAAGAGGCACACAAAAACACTTAAACATGCACAATAATTGCGTATTCATGAATAAAAGACAGAGACACAAAGACTGAGAGAATGAAATGGACGATGAAGAAGTACATAGTACATAGTACATAGTTAAAATTATTTTTAGTTTAGTTAAGTCACCGAGATCTAATTTTACGGCCTAGAGCAGAGACTGGGCAAACAACCTAAAAAGTCCAGACAATCAGCGGAGTTTCTTTTTAGATAATTCGAGAAACGATTATGTCATGTTGAACACGAGTAAATGGCATCGGGAATTCGAACATTACGAGCACAGCGTACACCTATCGGGGCCTGAGGACACTCGGACAAAGCAAATGAAAATTAAATTAAACTCAAAGTGACAGTCGAAGGACTACAAAGAGGCCATCTCGGTCAGGAACAAATTTACAAATTGATTGTAGAAGGGGATTGGAAAGGGATGAGAAAAAGGTAACAAGCCCCATCACTTATCCGGCCTCAAACATTGTCTATACATGCATGCATACATATGTAAGTATGTATGTACATATGTGTAGGATGACACCATTCCCCATCGCATCACAGCATATCACCCCATCGCATCGTTTTAAATATGTTAATGGCCTAAACATAATTGTGTGTGTCTGCGCTGCGGCGTTTGAGTGGCATTGGAGTCGGAGCAGGAGCAGGAGCAGGAGCAAAAAGCAAAAGCAAAAGCTTCGTGCACATTCAGACACATTCCACTCTTCGCTTAACTGGCGCATCCGCCTGGAATAGTACTCGACTGACACTTTTTCCATTGCACCAAACCATAAACGGAATGCAGGGCACGACGCGGAAGAGTGGTAAGCGGTGGTCGGACGGTCGGTCGAGGGATGCCTCTAATATGATTTAGCCCTGGACTTAGTGATGGGTCGGGGTCGGAGTAGTGTCGCCTGCGTCAGGGGTCCTGCGGAACAGAGGCTCTGTTTGCACATGGCAGCCACAGCCATGCCTCGGGAGCTAATAAACGTTTATGCACTGAAAAAAATAGTCGCGGGAGTTGACACCTAACCATATGGATATTAACTTAATCTATAAATCACTAAAACTAAAAACAGATTTAAGATATGTTAAATATGGTGATCAAGTCTTAGCATAATACGCAAACTGTCGATCGTTAGGCTGTTCGTATTAATATGGTGTATTCGATCTGTGGTGTATCCCAATCCTTCCTGCCCCAAAGGGGAACAGACTCGCAGTTCGCTAATCTGTAGTCCTCAATATTTTGCCTCAGTGTAAAAAGGCATCGTTAAGTAGCAGGTGGCGTCGTTTTTGCCGGCTGTTCGTCTGTGTCGGGGTGTGTGTGTGGGTGGGGTGAGGCTAAAGCCGGTGGGGACGAGACGGTGGGTTGTCTGAGTTCCGGGCACAGTGTTCACTGTGCACTGTGCTCTGTATTCTGTGTAGCAGGCGGTTAGGCACTACAAAAGTTGCTAATGTTTTTTAAAGAGGCCTTTTTAGTATACAAAGTCAAACATTCTGACGGCCCAAATGCAGGCATAAAGCACACACACGTACACACATAGCCGTAATAATCTCATACTTACACATCCGTACAAACACATGCATGTATGTGTGGCCGTACACATGAGGTTAGCACACCCCACAAGCTTAACAATGGACTCGACATAACTCAACTTGACTCGCATCTCGACTCATTCATTCATTCATTCGTTCATTCATTCATTTAAACCCTTACATACTCGAACAATACGAGTATAAGCATTCATACAGACACGCATCCACCCACCCACACACACACACAGCCAGACATCACGTGAGTGTATTGTGCATTACATAATGCCATGGATAAGGAAGCGCTTAGATGCGTCAACCGTCTTATTGCATGGCCGGGAGAGGCAGGAATCACGGAACACGCCGCAGCGGCAGGTGGTGTTGCTCCCCGAACGGAACCAGTTCCAGTTCCAGTTACTTTCGCGGGTTTTTGAAGCCAGCAGCAATCGAAGACACCGAACACTCTATACGAGTGCTGATGTACCCGAACCGGGGCCAGTTCCCGTTTTACCTCCTGCAGAAGTCGGAGAACAGGAATCACGGAAAATGCCAGCGGCAGGTGGTGCTGCTGGCCCCTAGCGAAATCAGTTACAGACCTTTTTGAATAAATAATATTGATTTATTGGTAGCGGAGAATTTGCGGTTCATAAGCGAACGATTTTAATGCTAAGCGAGCCACCAACACCAACAGGCCAGAAGAACAGAGGCCAGGCAGGAACGGAACGGAACGGAACGCACACAACGGAAGCCAAAAGTATGACACACACATGGCACGTTTTTTTTTTAGTTGCCTCCTTTCTCAGTGCTTTCGTCTGTTTGTTCTTTCCCTTTGCATTCTCGTTCTCATTCTCGTTTGGCGGTGTCGTCACGAAATTGTATCCAAAAAGAAAGAGAAATGGCGGAGGACGCCCACACAAATATATTCCTAATGCTGAAGGCTCCACCGAAACTCCCTACTTCATTCGGTACCCCTTCTCTGCCCCACTTCCGCTTTACTCCTCAAATTGGTTTCGCTTTCGGTTTCTGTTGATTTATTTGGTGTGTGGCTTCTCTCTCTCTCTTGTCCCACGCACACATCCACACCCCGAAAAGGACATTCGTTGACGGAGGGAGTCCTTTTACTGTTGTTCTTTTGCAGCTTTTCCCAGTTCCCCTTTACCATTTCTTTTTGGGTTAATTTGGGTTATTTGTTGGTAAATTGAAGTTGATCCATTTATGTATATGATCTTGTGATAAGTCCGATTCATCAGAAACTTAACTTGAAAAGACGACTCGACCTTTAAGCTTTAACAGAAAATATAAAAACATTTCATTATCTCTGATTCTCTATGATTTTATACTTTACAGGATTCATGTTTCAATATCTAACAATTCTAGTCGATCGTAGCAGTCCCACCCGCAAACTTTAACGTTTGGCTTACTTCAGCGGGGGGCACGGGCACGTCCTTGCTCCCATCCCTCCCACATAACGCAGCATATTGATGCTGGACTCGAGACAAGCGAGTGGTGCAAAGGATAATTGCATTGTTGGTTTTATTCACCGATTCTTTAAAGGCCATAAAATCAAATGTTGCTTAAACGGTTTCACATAGTGGTAAAAGCCCTTTGGTTCCTGGTTCACTGAATTCCTTTGAAGGAAGGAAAACAGGACGTTAACCAAAAATAATTTAAACATTCATTAGGTCCGTCTTAAACATTCTTATTATTGTTGCCCGGCCCCATATCCCTACAACTTTCTGACTATAAAATTTGAACAAACAAATCATCGAGTGCCCCCAGCCCAATTAGTTGTTCTATACGCGAGAATGCACGACTTGAATTGGTTGGGCCTGGGAATGGCGAAGTCCTTTCTGTAAAGGTACTCGAATGTGAATGTATGGTCATTGTGTGGCCAAACACGTGTGAGACTTTCTATAAGTATTTTCTCCGCTTTAGCCCCCGACCACTGCACATGAATGAATATTAATAATAAAAAAAGCCAACAAGGAGGCAAGTCACTGCGGGGAACTATGTACCGTACATGTGTATGTATTTCCCTATTTTCCCCCCGACTCAGGTGGAAGTCGAACTCTACTCTGGTGGATATATCATTTTTTAGTATTTCCCCGCATTCCATTATACTTACATATTTCTTGTTTGTTTGTGTTTCGTGTTTCTGTTTCTCTCGTTTTTCTTCGTTCTTTTTTTGTGTTTAACAAGTTACCGTTACATTTGGCTTATATTTTGTGTATTTGTGATTTGTGTGTCCTCTGGCACCTCTTCCCCATCCTACATATACACCCGATCCCCTCCTTCCACCGTCTGTGCATTTCCCCATAGAAACAATGGAGGACATGGGCGGTGCGGTACGACAGAGACAAAGAAAAGGAAAGGGAGGGTAGGTAGGGTATTCAGGTCAATAGTGAAAGACAACAACATATGGCAAGGTTGCTTTGAAATTATTTTTCCTTTTTTTTTTTTCGAAATTAACTTTTTTCCGCCTTTCCTAAGAACAGGGAAGATTGAAAATGTAAAGAGAGAGAGAGAAAGAAAGACCGAATGATTGCATTTATTTTTTTGCATGGTAGTAATCGTCGTAGGCTTCCCTTCCCCTTCCCCTTCCTCTTTCTCTCCTGGTATGTGGTATCCTCACAGTAAAGTGTGTCTAATTAGGAAGTCCTTTTAAGAAAATCAATAAACATGTCTTGACCTCAATTAGATTCCGCTTACAGTTCACAAAACAATACACGTACTACAGTGAGCACCCCAGACAACAAACACGCACAAGAGATCTTACAGAAATAAGAAGCGAAGGGGGGGGGCACTGAACAGGGGCTATTGAGGGACACACGTGCTTTTGATTTGGCCAAAAGGCGAAGCGAAAGAGAGAACTAAGAAAGCGAGAGAGAGAGAGAGCGGGCACAGAATGTTCGTAATAATAAAGACCTGCTTTCCTGCCTGCCTGCAATGTGCTGGCTAAGACGATTTGTTGGGCAGAGACGTGGCAAAGGGGTATCTAAGGGGCACTGAACAGGGGCAGAGCAGGGGTTCGCCCCGAGTATTCACACGCCATAGCCACAGACCATGACATGAAGACGACGACGATTGCTTTTCACTTTAGTCAACTTTAGCCCCAACTCCCTTCCAGCCATCCAGCCTTCCAGCGACCCCTGCCCCAGTGCCCCTGGCCTCGCGCGTCAACTGGCGTTTTATGATACGATTTTATTTATTTGCCCAGGAAGGGAGAGAAAGAGAAAGAGTGAGGGGGAGCCAGAGAAGCCGCAGCACTGAACGCGAGTCCTGGCATTGTAATACGAACTGTCAACAAGAAGCTGCCTCGAAGGCAGAGGCAGGCAACTCTGGAGGTTCTTCTCTGTTTGCCATGATTCCTCCCCCATCATCCTGGGCTGTTTTCTCGTACCCTGGTTCGTGTTTCTAGTGTGTTTGGGGGGATGTCAGAAGTAGTCCAAACGCAAGGATTACGCACGAGAATTAGTGTGCATGGAGAAGAGAGAGAGACAAAAAGGAATATTTTGGATAACTGCAATTCAGAGGTTCCGAGTGCGGAATACAAAGATCAAGCAACCAAGGAACCAACTTTGCTAGATGCTGGAAGTACATACATTAGAAGGGCATCCTCAACCGTTTAGACACTGGTTCGCACCTGCCTTGTTATGCCAGACTAAAATCCATTCATGAATCCCCAAAAAAAATAGTTTTTAGGTTGGTCCGAATCATGGGGGGTCAGTCTTTTTATACCCGATGCTCAAACATTATAAAGATATATTAGTTTTGTATGGATGTGGTCGTGATTCCTCTTTTTATACCCGTTCTCAAAGAGTTATGGGGTAAGTATATTAGATTTATGGTAAAAGTGGATGTGTGTAAGGCACAGAGGCAACGTTTCCGACCCCATAAAGTATAAATATTCTTGATCATTCTCTATGTGTGTCCGTCTTGTTTGTCGCCTAGTTTGCAGAGACTATAAGAGCTAGAGCAACCAAAAATATGTTTCCAGACTCATGTGATATCACACTGCTATAAGTGTATTTCAAAATTTCACCATGCCTCCACAAAGCACGAAAATCTGTAGAAAACGGAAAACGCAGAATCGTAGGGAATGATCATATCTACCAGTGCACATTGGGCCAGACAGCCGATATTTTGGCATAAATTTGACAAACTATTAGAAACAAAATCTTATTTTAAAGGTACATTTTCATAGTGCATACCTTGGCTAGAAAAAATGGAAACATATTTTTGATTTTAATGCTGCACTGAAATTTGTGTAGCCCATCAAAGTCAGATGTTCGGTTAATTACGAGTTGGTATACGAAAAGCGGGAATCTCTTTCTCAACTTTGTGAGCTTGTAAGTTTTTTAAATTTTAAGAAAAGGTAAATGTAAAACATTGACCAGAAAGGCCGCGGCATGTTAAATTTGTATATAAAAAAGATTTTGTTCATATGCGTTAGTTGGTTTTTTGTGCGTATTAATTTGGGCCTTAATGTTCAGTTGCTAATTCCACCCCCTTCAAGCACGGCAACGCCCTCTGGCGCAGGGAGATGTATAATCTGCATTGTAGGTGTAGATGACTGATGTAACAGAAAACTGTAAATAGATCGAATATCAAAAAAATCATAGTCTCACATATGTACATATAAACTGACTGAGTACGGGTATAATAGTTGAGTCGCGGCCACAGCAGTGACTCACAATGTTTCCTCTCGTTCTCCCTATGTTGAGTGTGATATCCCCCCTCACCGCATTAACCAACAAATCAATTCGTCCCTTTTACGAACAGTGATACCATAAGACAGACAGAGAGAGATAGAGAGAGCAACCGGCAGTCATGGGCTCCGATACCTTATGTTGTTGCATATACATATGTATGTTGCATACTTCACATAAATTATAAGACTAAATATATACTGACTGAGTATCGGGTATCCCCGTGAACTATAAGTGATCAAAACTTATACTATTTTGTGGATAACTGAGGAAAAAAAAAACTTCAATCTTCATTGTGGCGCATCGATCCTCCGTATGTCACTTCACATCTCTACCCTGAACATCGTGATAAGCCCCAGCACGACATCTCCCATTTAATTTCAGAAAACTCTGTCTACTCGCCATGTGGGTCAACGCAGTTTGTCCACACAGTTTAGTCATAGTCAGAGGACTCGTACACTCTTTCGCAATTCCAGCCGAATGTCAATCGTGATTTTCGGCATCTATCCAAGGAGAGTGACCAGAAGAAGGAGTGCGATAGATGCCCAAGTGTAGTTTAACCCAGTTTCTCAGTAATATAAATGAGCTGAAATCCCCCCATTCCCCCACCATCTCCCGGTGACCTCGTGTCAACGAATGCAAGCTTCAGCTACTATTTTGGGTGTACAGTACTGATTTGCTATGCAAGCTCTACATTCTATTGCTTGTCCAAGTGAACTTTGCACTAAATGTGGGCGCCGTGCCGAGATTCCCCGAGAGAATCCAATCCAATCCCAGAGATGTTTTGGAGGGAGCGTGGACAAAGGAAATGTGATGCCAAAACGAGTGACAGGGGGACCCAAACTGAGCAGGAAAACTTTCCAGTGGCCGAGATCCGACCCTAAAAAAGTTGTTATTTGATAGCCAGGATGTCAGGATGTATTCTCCCCCAGCTAGTTGACAATTAATTGACAATTGCATTCGTTAAACCATCAATAACCTTCTGGGGGGCGTGTAGCTCTACTCTACTCTACTCACTCTGCATATGACAAAGTCCCACGGAGAAGTGCGCCAGCTCCGGCATCTGTCTGAGTATCTCCTCGGTCACCAGATGGACGCCGCGGTGCTGTGGCCTTAGATTGATTTTGCGCTGAAACCACGCTGAGCCGATCTGCAGGCCCACGATGGCGTTGCCGTCACCAGCGCCGGCCACGGCCCCGCCGCCACGCCCGCTCCGATGGTTGGCCGAGGCCATGGTGCTGTTGGAGCTGCTGCTCCGGATGTTGCTGTTGCGACTGACGCTCTGCTTGACGCCGCCACCGCCTCCGCCGGCGCTGCCAGCTCCACCGCTACCACTGGTCGCTTTCGTTGTGCCGGCGTGGGGATTACTGCTGCTACTGCGACGTCGCTGGCCGCTGCGTCCGCCGCTGCGTTGATTGCTCCCTGCAGCAACTACCGCTCCTGCTCCTGTGGGTGGGCTCTGGCGTGCAGCGGCGGCGGCGGCGGCGGCAGCAGCAGACGACGTCGTTGGTTTTGAGGACGACGTTGTGGCTTCTCAGGACACTCGCGCACTAACACACTTGCACTGGGACTGGCACTGGCTCTGGCCCTGGTACTCGCTTTCGCAGTGGCAGTGGCAGGAGTCGATGTGCAACAAGCTTGTGCACTTGGCTGGCTCTGCACTTTTCCCGTTTCACTTTTCCGGCTATTTACTTTTCCCTTTTTCGCCTGGCCAAGCCCTTCTTTGTATTAATTTATTCTATATTATTGCCACTTGTTACCGTTATCAGCACCTGCAAGAGCGCAAGAGAGAGACAAAAGAGAGAATTAGTAGACACGTTCGTTCGCAGGCGAAATTTAAACAATGTTCCCAGTGGGCAGTGAGCTCAGATGGGACACAGGGTTCAAAAACAAACGGTAATGCTTGTATGACATATGTAGAGATAACTGATGTGAATCGCAGTTTTCAAATTTGACTGCTTTTAAATATGTAAGACATTCGCAAAAACATTTCGATTTCATCGAAACCACAACATTTCAATGCCTTGTCTTGGAATGCTGTCAATTAAAATGCTTTTAAATTATTGCACTGCACATTCGCACGGGATAAACATAACTTTCTGGGATCATAAGTCGTGATTGGGTAATTTTCTGTACTTATTTGAATATTTAAGAGAGACTTTGTGGAAGAACTTTTATCTTGAACCAATCAATGCCAAATACTCGTACCAAAAAATACTCAACAAATGAACATTTACTTATTTTAATACCTTTCAAATCAATGTTGGCATTGGTTAAATCAGTTAAGTTTCAATAAATTTAGAAAATAATATCTGGACTGACTTATATCAAAATGTTTGTTTTGTTTTACTTTAAATTCGTTGGTCTCAGTGGATATTTCCATGGAAATGTCCATATATTCAACCAGAAAATGTGTAATACTATTTTGCTCACACAGTAGGTTCCTCTTGCACAATTAGTCCATTAAACAAACAATTTTTTTAGTGATTGTTATACAGACATTTTTTTTAGAAAGATGTGACATCATTGAGCTTTAATATACTTCTAAGCATCAGTTTATTTTGGTAGCTGCTTATGTCCGGCAAACACCAAGTGGGTCTTGTTTACTAGAGTCACCTTAAAAGGCAGTACGATCTATCATTGACTTCCCTCCCTTTCGACAGTCTACTGATGACATAAATCATATACTCATATTATTTCTTAGGCGTTGTTGCTACATCTCAATTAGTATATGCAGCCAGCGAGCAGCGCCCACAATCAACAAGTTATTAATTGCCAAACGTAAACAGCAAACACGGCCAGACAACGACTGCTATAGTTATCAGAACGCCAGGGGTGACCTTCTGGAAATCTACACATGTATGTACATGTACATATATATGTATTCTTCCTTTACCTACATACACACCCATATCAGACAGCCACTTCTTATAAAACTTAAGATTTCACGGGAGCGAACAATAAATGAAAACTATTATTATACATACATATGTATGTATATATGTAGGTATAATTAAAATATTTATAATTTAGAAGCTACAATTTCTGTACATAAATATGTACATATGTAGCTGTGCTGCTTTTAAATGTTCAGTGCAAGATTTAAGCTTAATTTTAGTTATATGTAATGAATAAAGTTACTTGAATTCTAATAAACAACGTACATATTGTGGTTGATAGTGTAGAACTGTAGAACTGTGCGGCTGGTGCTATATTTTCCACCCCATTTCAGTCGAACAAATCAGAGTGGAGAGATCAAATACAAAACCCTTAACAAACGAAATACTGTTCCAGAAGTTCCTTTACTTTTGTTTGCTTTATAAAAGCTAATAGTCTACTGATTGTCTATTAAAAACCTGAGGAAAACAGTTCCAGTCGGTTCAGCTCAAAGGGAATGTTTCGGTTTGCGTGAAGAAAAAGAGTGGGACCCGAGCCAAGGCAACACAACAGTAAAAATGTGTAGTAGCATTCGAAACGGAATAATGAGCACGTGTCGCCAAGTGGGCCAGTGGGGAGACAGGCCTAGGATTGTTGGCCTAGGAGCGCGCTCGTGCGAGTGGGAAACAGAATCCAAAAAATGAAAAGGAATATGGAGCGGAATCAAGAAAAATCGTGTTTAAAAATCCCTCTTTTTTCCTATGTACTTTCTGCTTTCTCTGTATGCTCTCTTGGCTTACGAGTTGAGTGCGAAAAGCAATCGAAATGCATTTGAATTGAAGGAAGATTGAAGCCGCAGCCACAGCTCATGGAAATCCGCTGCGGGTTCGTACGCCTGTAGTAATAGAAGTAGTGGTAACAAAAAAAGTTCACACACACGAACAGGCCTCCAAAAAAAGGCAGCACTTGCCACACAAACGATTTACACGACACTAAAGGCGGCCACACGCCAAGAACTCGACAAGTGGGAAGTGTGCATAGGCGGAGGGGGCCAAAGGGGTGGAAGATGGAGATGAGCTGATGGAAAACTAAGGCGACACGAGTACATATCTGGATAAGCAAACATTTATCCAGAATTCATGGTGGAGAAGGGCTCCATTCAGTTGGCTCTTGTATAATCGCGAAATGTTCTTGAAACTGGGATCGTAAACCCAAATAGGGAGCCCAGGCAGTGTGCTGTGGCTCGGTCTCTATCAAGGCGTCTCTCTCCCGTCAGGGGCGGGCAACAACTAAAATGAGAAGCGCGTTAAGGCCGCAGCCAGGTACTTTATACTTTTTACGGGGCCACTGTTCAAATTTGCATATGCTTTAAATATTTAATGTAATTCAAAAAGAGGAGACAAGTATCGTGCCAGCCGCCGCAGCAGCAGCAGCAATTGGACAAGGCTTGCCCTCTCGGAGTCCAATTGGACTTCCCGACACCAGGAGATGGAGCCAGAGGCATAGGGGACTACTACCATCAAGGCAACACACAGAATTGTTCGCGCATTTGGCAAAAAATCAATTTTCCGTGTGATTGCCAAATACAATTGCAAAAGAATCAAGGCATAGGAGAGAACATGCAAAGCAGAAGATCTAACATGAAGCAAAAGCATAATTAAACTTTTGACGCGCTTTGTGAACTTTTGAATACCTTCGTGCGTACGCTCTTTGTGCAGTATAATTCTACTTTTTTATTTTTTTTACTGTTAATTATTGACATAACAAATGGGAAGTCTCCGTCGCTCTCTCCGCGCACTCACTCTGCCCTCTGTGGGGCACGGATGACGGCAACGTTGACAGCAGCACACGCGAAATTGCTTAAATAAAGAGGAGGATAACACAAACACACCGAAACTAGAGCTTATAATTTTCCACCGTTGGCGCTCTGCTTCGCTTTCTGCCGATTCTTTGAACGAACGGAATTTCGGGGACTGGACTCACGTATGTACGTACACCTTCAGCACTGGCAATGGGCAGCACAGGTAAATCACGTAGGCATAAAATTTAAATGCACTTAATTACATCTAATTCGTGTTTTGCTTTTGTAAATTTTATGGCAAGAGTGCCGCTGCTACAAACCGTGACGCTAGAGATGAGCGATAGCCGGGTCATGTATTTTAAAGTAGCGAGTCACGGATCTGAGTTTCTAGCAAAACAAATCACGTTTTTATTTATGGATGCCGACACTCTACAAAACTATACAACTTTGACTCAGATCTGGATTTCCCAAAGCATTAACGTTGAATTTTCTTAAATAAATTTGGGAACTCCACACAAACACTTTAGCACACATTTTTACGTATTTCACCAAATATTTCCAACAATCACTGCATCTGTAATATTGGGGCAATCGATAGAAATTGCTCAAACAAAAAGAAAAACAAAAGTATCTGATAGATTTTGATATGATATCTTGAGAACACGATTTAAAATTAAATGAAATTCTTGAAAAATTAAATCTGATCAAATGCAATTTCAGCTTTCTTTCACTTGGATATCGATACCTTGGCGTGCAAGTTAAAAGCGCTAGTGTGCATTTTATTTACATTTGAAATGCGTTCAGATTTTGCATGTGTATAAACGAACCAAAAAGCGGTGCTTACTTTTGCTGGGGATTATTAGTTTGTGGCTGAAGCTATTGTCGATGCTGAGATCGGGATCTTTGTGCATTTTGGAGTGGCAATGCGAATGCAACAACAACTACGGAGATATGGTGCTGCGTTAGTAGGTCGAATAAAGCTGCGTTCTGCGTGCGGCGGCTAAATATAACGTTTGGCTTTGGCGCTACACTCGTTACTCTTTTTTATGTGGCCAATTCACAAAATGTACATTTTTTTTACACCTTTCACACACACCCACGGGCTTTACGCTCACGCTCGCACACACTGGCCCGTTTTTCTCTTTTCTTCTTCGCTTTTCGCACACCTCCTCTCCTCCTTTGCGACAGCAATTTCGGGAGCGTTGCCCGTTGTTTTTGTTTTTAGTGGTACACCATAGAGATTTTTTTTTTTGTAATGTAGGTTAGCTCCATATCCTATTTTCTTGATTGCTGCTTGACGGATGCTTGTGGGGCGATTTTCCTGCTGCATTCATCCGCAGCAGCAGCTGCATGTTACCAAATGGGTGACTCCCATCAACTTGGGCCACATGGGCACAGTTTTCGCATGAAACATTTTCACTGCCTTCTGCCCGTTTTCAACACCAGTTTGGGTGCATTCGGAAAGGGCGGAATGGATTCCCGATATTCCTGCCTTTACCCTTGTCTCTGCTCCGGTTTTCAATAAAACTTCATGGCCCTGTTACATATGTACTCCGTGCACACTCACACATACACATGAGCCCGATGCGAGGATACAACAGCACACAATTTTACTGCCTCTTCTAACCAACAGAACTGTGTGTGTGTGTGTTGAATTTTTCTCTTTGCTTTTTCAATTTCTTTTTTTTTCTAGTTATGTTTTCTGCTATGTTCAGCTACTATTATTTTTTGGCTTTTCTCTGCCTTTTCTGCGACGAGCGCCCCCCTAAACTGAATCTGATTCAGGATATATTTTTGTTGAATGAGTTTGGCTCACTCGTTGTCTTAACGGTAATGTTCCTGCACCTGCGCACAATCTGGCGAGTATATTCCCGGACTATTGTGAATGGCAAAGGCGCTGCCATATGAAATGATGTTCCAGTAGTGTCGCCTTTTGCACGTATCGATATTTCGATAGCCTGTTACTTTGGATTTAAATTTGTTTTCGTAACTACTCGTAGGAAGGGTAAGTTAAATAAAACTGCAACCTTTCCTGTAAATGTTGACTTTTCCGATTTTTTATGTACTATTTATTTATTTCCGTTTTTATTTTAAAAACCGTATTTGAAAGGTCACTCTCCCCTAACGCAATTCGAGTAATTGCAATCACACACATAATTCTAAACGCCCTCCCGAAGCACGCCAACCTCTAAATGTCACAGTCATTAGACTAAATTCTGACGTCTCCGGATCTCGCCCATACCCCTGCAGCTACCATCCCAGCGACCAAGGATCCCATCAAACTGGGTGTGACCAGCAGGTGGCCGCCTAACCGCCTAACTAACCATATACATATGCATGTGTTCTTCGCCGAGCTCCAGCTTGTATGCAGAGCAAAAATTACTTTACTGTGTCGTGCTGTTGAGGCACGCGGAGCCGCACCCAGTTTCTTGGTCTCGAGTCGAGTTTGTTGTCATTTTCGCTTTCATATCCATATCCACAGGCACAGCCACATCCACCAAGGGAGGAGCTGCTAGTGAAATATCTAGCATTACATTTTACGTTTCAGCTTTCATTTGTTGCGGCGTGAAGGGGACGGTTTCGGTTTCTTTGTTTGTTATTTTACAAGTTTGCCATTTTCCCCATACAGGGTGAGTATCCCACTCCCGTCCCACTTATTTGAATACCTTGCGTGGGCTCCAGGGATCCAGCTCGTCTAGCTCTGTCCATGGACAGCAGTCTGCACTGGATAGGCAAAGCAGCCAGACGTACTCGGGAGTAGGAACGAACCACGAACCTGCCGCAGTTCATAAATCAGCCCAAAAATGGATGACAATACAGACTTCCGTGACGTTTGGCTGGAGACGGTGACCATTGGGGGGTTTCGTGTTTGGCACATAATAGCCGCTGTCCTGGGCATACTAATGGGAATCAGTGAGTGGACACTGCAGTGCTTGCTAATGAAGGTTGAGCATATTGTCTATCTTTATTGTCTGGACGTCTATCTTTATCTCTCAGTGATTATGGTCTGCTGTTGCATCCGATTCCGCATACCACGCACCAAGCAAGAGATCGAGGCGGACTATCAGCGCAAGCAAATAACAAAGAAGTTCCGCGAGAAGCTCCAGCAAATTAAAAACTCCGAAATGGACGACATGGACCTACAGAAGGGTGAGGAGCCCTCGCTACTCTAAATCTTTTCTAAATACACACTCCACTCCACTCCACTCGTATACCTATATAAATATACATAGCGTAAAAGTTTTGTGTACCAACTGTCCCAGTTTTGTTGTCACCCTTATGCGGCCAAGCCTTTTTCCTGTCTGGTCTCTGCCTCATTTTCCTCCTCCCACACGAACTCACGCATTTGTATATACAAAATGAAAATGATAAACGATTCCTTGAGCTGGACCTGCTTGCACGCTAGTTACGTTTCGAGAATGTTACTCACCCTGTCTCTCTATCTCGCTGCCACTTCTCTATCACAGCACTTGCTTACATCAAACTGGAACAGTACGATGATCCCTAAGGGCTTGTAAATTCACTAGCACACTGTACAAACTATTGGAAGTACCTAAGAACTAGCCTCTGTATCCCAAAGAACACTGCCAATGTAAGTAGCACATCCAACCATTACTCGATTAACTAATGCCATCAGCAATATTTCTCTTTATCTGAACTGTTCCATTGCAGTTTGTGCTCGAATTCAAAGCGATTTCCTGAATCTCCAGGCGAGCGTCGAGAGCATGAACGAGAAGCAAAATGTTAAGTTTAAGATCTAGATACGGAAGGAACTGTTATACTGTTGTGTAACAGAATATAATACAAAGTGTGTTGGTATCCTATACTATACTCCTAGCATGATAAAAACTTATAAACTAGAAAAGCAGTGGATTTTCATATTGAAGAACATTAAACGTACGAATATCGTCTAGTCTTAGCCATTACACATGTTTCTCCTAATCCTGTTATACGACTATTCAAACAATAAAACTCGGGGATGCAGTAAAACAAAAGTTGTTTATATTGCAATTTATGTTTCTCGTTTTATTAATTCTGTTTGCTTTCTGCTTTTCTGTGGTATCAAAGGATCGTTTATAATTTCTTTTTCAGGAGTAAGTTTTTAAATGCGTTTTCTACACATACATATAGGCTAGTTGGGGCTTTTCTTCCTGTGGGGACAGCGTTTCCCACAATTGCGACTATATAACAAGTTGTTGGCATACCGCACCGCACTCGTTGGATCTATTATGACATGATATTTTTCATTGCGTTTTCCACTTAAGTAGTTCATTTATTAGTTTAAAATGTTGCTTCTCTGCTGAAGCGCCGACTCGGCTAATGACTGTAACAAATTTGCTGAGGCTGACATTGACTCGACACAAAACACTCACAAGTTTATCAATTATTTACGCATAACTATTAATTCTTTGTTCATTATGTTGCTGAGCTTACACTTAGCCTTAACTTTCAGTTTCCAATACTTTCTTTTCTCTACTATTTGTCTTTCCTGTTCTGCAGGGGTTTCTATTGCTTTGCCTAAGCATCGCGTATGTTCACTTTTTGCATGTGAATAGACAATTTTTTTTTTATATTTATGTATATAAAAACAACTAAACATACTGCACGCATCATTCCATGCGTTTGAATGTTCTCCCCCTGTAAAAGAAACGCTGAAATTAGTACAGCTGCAGCAGACCTAGGCCCTGTCGTCACTTACGTTATAGTTTTCTTCTCCGTATTCTTGGGTTCAGGCCTTGCACGATTTAGCACCTTGAGGAAGTCCGAGGTTTTTGCACGCATGCGGGAATGAATGTAGGCCTTTGAACACTGTTAAAAATAGCACGGTTAATGCCTGGTAAATTCTAGCCAAGTCAGATCATACGCACCTTGATGTGGTAATGCAAATAATCTCGGAACATATGTATTAGATTGATGGTATTGTCCCTAGTTTCTTTGTTGGTATGCCGAGGGAAAAGTACTGTAAAAGTAGAAAAAAAAGTGTAATGGTGGATTATTCGGTATTCCATTCGACCTTAAATCTATTCAAGGACCATTTGACAAACAATGAAGGATTATTCAGGATGCCGTTCGTCTATCGTTTTATTATCGGAGTATTTGAGACACAAATCTGAAGGTTGGTTCATAAATATGCCACTTTGACTCTAGGAATACGATACAGTATAACAGTCAAAGGTCTATTGTACGCGAACACAAGTCGTCTGCTATAATATGATGGATTATTCAGGATGCCGTTCGTCTAACGTGTTATTATCGGAGTACTTGAGACACAAATCTGAAGGTTTGTTCATAAATATGCCACTTTGACTCCAGGAATACGATATAGTATAACAGTCAAAGGTCTATTGTACACGAACACAAGTCGTCTGTTATAATATGAAGGATTATTCAGGATGCCGTTCGTCTAACGTGTTATTATCGGAGTATTTGAGACACAAATCTGAAGGTTGGTTCATAAATATGCCACTTTGACTCCTCGAAAACAATACAGTAGAACAGTCAAAGGTCTAGTGTACACGAACACAAGTCGTCTGCTATAATATGAAGGATTATTCAGGATGCCGTTCGTCTATCGTGTTATTATCGGAGTATTTGAGACACAAATCTGAAGGTTGGTTCATAAATATGCCACTTTGACTCCAGGAATACGATACAGTATAACAGTCAAAGGTCTATTGTACACGAACACAAGTCGTCTGCTATAATATGAAGGATTATTCAGGATGCCGTTCGTCTAACGTGTTATTATCGGAGTATTTGAGACACAAATCTGAAGGTTGGTTCATAAATATGCCACTTTGACTCCAGGAATACGATACAGTATAAAAGTCAAAGGTCTATTGTACACGAACACAAGTCGTCTGCTATAATATGAAGGATTATTCAGGATGCCGTTCGTCTAACGTGTTATTATCGGAGTATTTGAGACACAAATCTGAAGGTTGGTTCATAAATATGCCACTTTGACTCCAGGAATACGATACAGTATAACAGTCAAAGGTCTATTGTACACGAACACAAGTCGTCTGCTATAATATGAAGGATTATTCAGGATGCCGTTCGTCTATCGTGTTATTATCGGAGTATTTGAGACACAAATCTAAAGGTTTGTTCATAAATATGCCACTTTGACTCCAGGAATACGATACAGTATAACAGTCAAAGGTCTATTGTACACGAACACAAGTCGTCTGCTATAATATGAAGGATTATTCAGGATGCCGTTCGTCTAACGTGTTATTATCGGAGTATTTGAGACACAAATCTGAAGGTTGGTTCATAAATATGCCACTTTGACTCCTCGAAAACGATACAGTAGAACAGTCAAAGGTCTATTGTACACGAACACAAGTCGTCTGCTATAATATGAAGGATTATTCAGGATGCCGTTCGTCTATCGTGTTATTATCGGAGTATTTGAGACACAAATCTGAAGGTTTGTTCATAAATATGCCACTTTGACTCCTCGAAAACGATACAGTATAACAGTCAAAGGTCTATTGTACACGAACACAAGTCGTCTGCTATAATATGAAGGATTATTCAGGATGCCGTTCGTCTATCGTGTTATTATCGGAGTATTTGAGACACAAATCTAAAGGTTTGTTCATAAATATGCCACTTTGACTCCAGGAATACGATACAGTATAACAGTCAAAGGTCTATTGTACACGAACACAAGTCGTCTGCTATAATATGAAGGATTATTCAGGATGCCGTTCGTCTATCGTGTTATTATCGGAGTATTTGAGACACAAATCTAAAGGTTTGTTCATAAATATGCCACTTTGACTCCAGGAATACGATACAGTATAACAGTCAAAGGTCTATTGTACACGAACACAAGTCGTCTGCTATAATATGAAGGATTATTCAGGATGCCGTTCGTCTATCGTGTTATTATCGGAGTATTTGAGACACAAATCTGAAGGTTTGTTCATAAATATGCCACTTTGACTCCAGGAATACGATACAGTAGAACAGTCAAAGGTCTAGTGTACACGAACACAAGTCGTCTGCTATAATATGAAGGATTATTCAGGATGCCGTTCGTCTATCGTGTTATTATCGGAGTATTTGAGACACAAATCTGAAGGTTTGTTCATAAATATGCCACTTTGACTCCTCGAAAACGATACAGTAGAACAGTCAAAGGTCTAGTGTACACGAACACAAGTCGTCTGCTATAATGCAGAGGATTATTCAGGATGCCGTTCGTCTATCGTGTTATTATCGGAGTATTTGAGACACAAATCTAAAGGTTTGTTCATAAATATGCCACTTTGACTCCAGGAATACGATACAGTATAACAGTCAAAGGTCTAGTGTACACGAACACAAGTCGTCTGCTATAATATGAAGCATTATTCAGGATGCCGTTCGTCTATCGTGTTATTATCGGAGTATTTGAGACACAAATCTGAAGGTTGGTTCATAAATATGCCACTTTGACTCCAGGAATACGATACAGTATAACAGTCAAAGGTCTTTTGTACACGAACACAAGTCGTCTGCTATAATATGAAGGATTATTCAGGATGCCGTTCGTCTATCGTGTTATTATCGGAGTATTTGAGACACAAATCTGAAGGTTTGTTCATAAATATGCCACTTTGACTCCACAAGTTGATTTTAAAAAGAAAATATATAAATGAATTTTTTGGTACATATAATAATATTAATTCTACAAAATGGGGTTGCGAGCGACAGAAATACAAGAAACCAAAAAAAACTGCTACAAATGATGGGCCGCATGAGCTCAACCTACCAAATGTGACATAGCCAATGTTGTCGCCCACTCTGGCATCCGTGTTGGCCAATTCCAGAGGCGGTTCTCGGTGCGTGAAGAGCACTTGCGGGGCTGTGTGAGAAGCACGACGCCCTTCTCTCAATTCCTGCATAAATACTTTGCCAATTATAACGTCGTCCTCATCACGGAAGATAGTGCTGAAAACAACGGTGACACGATCTGGCTTGGCTTCCACGTACCTATTAACAAAATGTAGTTGGTCAACCTTTTCTTTGGGCTTCGAATCGTTCTTACAAAGTCTCATCGTTGCGGTAGTTAATTACGGCACGCTTTTGTCCTTCTTCTCCTTGCTCCTGGAAGTCGAAATACTTTTCAAAGACAGAGGCAAAACAGTTGCGCTTCAGCAGTCCAATTCTCTTTGCAATTTGCTCCCAGTCCTCGGGGATTTCCTCGAGATTTATAAGTACAGAAACATTGTAGCCTACAAAACGCAAACCAATTAATTTCATAGAATAGATAGATAAAAAACTACAGCTCAGTGTCGTGCACAAACCTTCTTCTGTGTCAGTTAGCAGACTGCCATATTCACGCTTCAGCAGCTCGTCGGCCCCATGCTCTTGCAGCTGTTTGTAGAACTTTAACGATATGCTGATCTGTTTTAGCGGATGAAAACAGCGATGAGTAAAGTTTTCTCTGAACCAAATGCGCAGGAATACTTACCCTCACTTTGGTTTTATCATTATTCACATTCGAAATGTGATAGAGTACGCCATCGAAGTCTGCTATTCGTATGTCTATCGATTCTGGCTTTAGTCTGCAGGAAGAATTTCAAAGATAACATTCAGTTCGATTACTATTAAGTATTAGTCATTGCTACCACACACCGGAGTACCTTATCAGCAAAAACAATATATACAATATACATGCATACATATGTATATAAATAGTTTTCCTTTAATTTGTATTTGTTTGAAATTTAATAATACAGAATGTAGGATACATTTCACATTTTTTTACGGAGAAATTCACACACACATTAGGAACAACATCTAAGGAATGTCACATTATAGCTCCGACTTAACGAGGATTTAAGACACTAATTTAAAGTTTTGTTCACAAATATGAAACGATCCAAAGGTCTATTGTACACGAACACAAGTCGTCTGCCATATTATGAAATATTATTCAGGATGCCGTTCGTCTATCGTCTATTCATAAATATTCCACTTTGACTCCTCGAAAACGATACAGTATAACAGTCAAAGGTCTATTGTACACGAACACAAGTCGTCTGTTATAATATGAAGGATTATTCAGGATGCCGTTCGTCTATCGTGTTATTATCGGTAGTATTTGAGACACAAATCTGAAGGTTTGTTCATAAATATGCCACTTTGACTCCAGGACTACGATACAGTATAACAGTCAAAGGTCTATTGTACACGAACACTATGAAGGATTATTCAGGATGCCGTTCGTCTATCGTGTTATTATCGGTAGTATTTGAGACACAAATCTGAAGGTTTGTTCATAAATATGCCACTTTGACTCCAGGACTACGATACAGTATAACAGTCAAAGGTCTATTGTACACAAACACAAGTCGTCTGCTATAATATGAAGGATTATTCAGGATGCCGTTCGTCTATCGTGTTATTATCGGAGTATTTGAGACACAAATCTGAAGGTTGGTTCTTAAATATGCCACTTTGACTCCAGGACTACGATACAGTATAACAGTCAAAGGTCTAGTGTACACGAACACAAGTCGTCTGCTATAATATGAAGGATTATTCAGGATGCCGTTCGTCTATCGTGTTATTATCGGAGTATTTGAGACACAAATCTGAAGGTTGGTTCTTAAATATGCCACTTTGACTCCAGGAATACGATACAGTATAACAGTCAAAGGTCTATTGTACACGAACACAAGTCGTCTGTTATAATATGAAGGATTATTCAGGATGCCGTTCGTCTATCGTGTTATTATCGGAGTATTTGAGACACAAATCTGAAGGTTTGTTCATAAATATGCCACTTTGACTCCAGGAATACGATACAGTATAACAGTCAAAGGTCTATTGTACACAAACACAAGTCGTCTGCTATAATATGAAGGATTATTCAGGATGCCGTTCGTCTATCGTGTTATTATCGGAGTATTTGAGACACAAATCTGAAGGTTGGTTCTTAAATATGCCACTTTGACTCCAGGACTACGATACAGTATAACAGTCAAAGGTCTAGTGTACACGAACACAAGTCGTCTGCTATAATATGAAGGATTATTCAGGATGCCGTTCGTCTATCGTATTATTATCGGAGTATTTGAGACACAAATCTGAAGGTTTGCTCTTAAATATGCCACTTTGACTCCAGGACTACGATACAGTATAACAGTCAAAGGTCTAGTGTACACGAACACAAGTCGTCTGCTATAATATGAAGGATTATTCAGGATGCCGTTCGTCTATCGTGTTATTATCGGAGTATTTGAGACACAAATCTGAAGGTTTGCTCTTAAATATGCCACTTTGGCTCCAGGAATACGATACAGTATAACAGTCAAAGGTCTAGTGTACACGAACACAAGTCGTCTGCTATAATATGAAGGATTATTCAGGATGCCGTTCGTCTATCGTGTTATTATCGGAGTATTTGAGACACAAATCTGAAGGTTTGTTCATAAATATGCCACTTTGACTCCAGGAATACGATACAGTATAACAGTCAAAGGTCTATTGTACACAAACACAAGTCGTCTGCTATAATATGAAGGATTATTCAGGATGCCGTTCGTCTATCGTGTTATTATCGGGAGTATTTGAGACACAAATCTGAAGGTTTGTTCATAAATACTCCTCTAAAACGATACAGTCAAAAATCTATTGTCTATTATTTAGGATGGCGTTAGTCTATCGTGTTATTATCAAAGGTTTTAAGAAAAAAATCGGAAGGTGTTTCTTCAAACAAGACACACGACTGTAGAATAACTGTATATTTAAGGGCGATTGTAAACGTTATCCGATCAATAAATAGATAATCTTATTTAGAGAACCGTCTGCCTCACCCCGCAAGTCCGGTGTCGTAGAACAATTCCGCCGCTATTACACTACTAAGTCCCGGCCGATGCCTGGTTTCTGTCTAAATCAGCGTTGGGTACACCCTTGCTCCCAATTCATTTACTGTTCTCGGACTAGAACACAAGCCATCTGTTATGCTGTTAGCATCTATGTAGTAGATGCAGTGGTTCGCCTTGAATGATACTAGAGATTACTGCTGGACGGACTATTTGGTACGCGGATCTAAGGAGCCCTGATGAGCTTTACCACGTTTGACGGGCTTAACCACTATTGGGAACATGCTTTTATTGGGGTTCCAACGAGATTCGTTTCATTTTTTATGCGAGCAGCGATGAGTCAGGTCCAGCGGGGTCAAGGCATGGCCGCATATGATGCACAAATGATGCGATAAATGAGCTGTAATGAACTAACAAATGCGTTGGACGGGTGGGGAGGGGGATCGGGCAGTGGCACGTAAATACGTTGGATTGTACATGTAGAGGAGAGAGCTTGCTTGACGAGTGGATGAGTGTTCCAGCGCTCGTGCTACACCCGAATTTTTACTTAAGGGAGAAAGAGAATACGTACGGCCTGATAAAGAAATCGGAGCTGATAACACGCGAAAGGGAGCTCAGGAGGAGAAGAAGCACACGCATAGATAAACCAAAATGGTGGAGCAATAAGGTCACATTACTGCGTTACAGTTATGTGGAACACTCACCCAGCCTGGGCGTTGCGGTATTTGACCAGGAGTGTCTCCTCTATAATCCGATTATTGATTTCCAGCAAGATCATGATGAGCGGTGGCCTATAGATGATATTTTTGCAGAATTAGGTTGCTCAAATGCAAGGCGATGACAAATTGTATGGCGTCGACTTCTTTCGCTGCTCACCGAGCTGCGATTGCGGTGGTTCTTCGTGCGGTAACTGTTTCTTTCTCTGCCAGTGGCGCTGTGTGTGGGGAGCTGCTCCAACTCACCAACACAGGCACATTCAGCGTGAGAGCAGTGTGTGTGTGTGCGTAGCGTATTTAATGAATCAACAACAAAAAATGGGCGCTGATGTCGGCTTTTTTGGTCGTCTCACTCACACACACGCACACTACAAAATTCCAACACACACACACAATCGCAGCACTCTGACTATCGCAGAATTGTTTAGCTCTTTTTCTTTTTCACCCGTGAAAATGGTTGAAGAGTTCAACACAATTTACTTTATTTAAAGAATGGGTTCTGAGCGTTAATTCCTTTTAATTTAAGACAAAACGTGGGAGTAATGTCTTGTCTTGAAGGTGATATTTAGTGTGACTAACCCTCAAAAATATACCGAAATATACCTACTCATCAATGTGACCACTAACCATACAGTATATAGATGTGCCAGTTCATACAACCGAAAGTGGTGCAGCTGATGTTTTCAGCCCACGTTCCCAGGATCTTCGGCTCTGTGAATGGCTGAGCATTCGGGTCTGGGAGCTGGGCCGTTCGGCATGTATGACGTCACACGGAGCCGAAAGCAAGCAGAGCATTGCAAGTGTTGTGTACGTGTACACATCCAAAATAAACTTTTTATCATAGAATAATTTTTATTTGCCGAAACCGTTTTGAGTTTGGTTTTTGAGATTTCAGGTTACGTAAACGTGTGTGTGCCATGTATTCACACATACTGTGCTTGTGTGTGGGCTCTACAATGTTTGGCAGCTTGAATTGGTTTTTCGTTTTGTTTTGAGGGCTGATGTGATGTAGCAACGTGTGCTGACCTGCCGCAATATAACTGAGGAATGGGCAGAGTGGGTGGGGGTGGGAAATAAATACAATATATAAAAATAAAAGATGATAACTATTTTATTTATCTGAAATTGCACACTTACATATACATATACCTATTTTAGACATGTACATACATACATATATACTAAAATAAATTTGTATGTGCATAAAAATTGTGCAAATGCCGTCGGCTTTCGACTTCGTTGCTGCCGTAATATCAACTTTGTCAAAAAAATGCCGGGAATTGGTATATATGTATGTATATGTTAATTTTTTACCTAAAAGAGGTTCGAATAGAAGAGGATTGGATAGGAGACGTTCGAATAGGCTAGGATTGGATAGCCGTCGCAGGCTGTTTCCATTGATTAGACTAGTATAAGTCATACATGCCGAAAAGCCCAGCTCCCGACCCGAATGTCTCAGCCTCCCGAGCCGAAGCGCCTGGGAGCTGGGACAGAAAACTCGGCTGCGCCCCTTTCGTTGTATGAACTGGCACATCTATATACTGTATGGTTAGTGATGTGACCGATAGCGCCGATAGCGATTAAAATACCATTCTAAGTATATTTTGCAATACTTCGGTATATTTCTGAGGGTCAGACGGTATGTTTTTCTCGCGGTCACTGCCCAACACTAAGTAGTATAACACAGCAAATGGATGAAACCGAGCTAATCAAATTAATAAAGAACTGCCCAATCCTGTACGATAAGGATAGTGCACGCTGCGCGAAGAATGCAGCGCTGAAAGACGCAGCATGGAAGTCCATATCCCAGAAGATTGGTGCCTCAGAAAGAGCCTGCATCACACGATGGAAGAGCATCAGGGACCGCTTCGGAAAGGAGTTCCGTCGCTTACGTACGTCGCCAGAAGTGCCTACGTACTGGGACATGTTTCCGCACCTACTGTTTCTCAAGGACCACTATAAGCAGGGCCAGGTCAGGCATGAGAGTCTGGAGGGGATTAAATTTGAACCCAAAGTGAGGAAAAAACGCAACATATTGTATACCGAACATGAGAAAAATCCTAAAGACGAGGAGGAAGATTGCAAAGGTGATATGCTAAGCGAGCTGATAGAGCTGGTCAGAATTCATCCCGTTCTGTATGACAAGGACCAGATACGCATTTCCAAGAACCTGTCTGCTAAGAATGAGGCTTGGCGGGAAATCTCGGAACGCTTGAATGTGTCGGGTAAGTGGCTGGACGCGTGTACATGTGAATGGATACTAACATAGCCCACTTATAGAGGTGATCTGCTTCAACCGTTGGAAGAAGTTGCGCGAACGATTCGCGCGAGAGTACCGAAACCAGCAAATTAATCACTCGATGCCCATTACCTGGAAGTATTTCGATGAGATGCTTTTCTTGGGCAGGCATTTTCGTAAGGGAGTTCCCCTGGTCATAGACAACATCAAGAAGCGAGGACGCCCACCTAAGGCGAGGAATCAGACCGGCAGTCCCGTCAAGCAGCCGACTAGCGTCAGCATTGTAAATGGGCAGCAGATATGGGGCGCCGATTATCCCTATAGCACGGATAATGACGAGCAGGAGAACGATCTGGAGCTGAGATACGATGAACCAGAAGAGATTGAGTTCGCACCAGAACCGGAGCACACAACCGCCTACGATTTCATTCTCACCGAGACAGCTCCCTCTCAGCAGCTGGCGCCGGGTGTGAGCGTCGAGCTCTTGCCATGCAACGAGAGCTTCGACCTGGCCAGGGAGAGTGCTGCTGTGCAGGACGTGGCCGTTGTCACAGAGGTTGACACTCCCGCCCCCACACCTGACAAACTCCTCGACCATGTTATAGCCAACATGGAGACTGTCCTTCAGCAGTCACGGGAGCTCCAGACGCAGCTTCAACACGAGCAGCACCATCCCCCCGCTATTAGGAGCCTGTTGGACAAGGCTCAGATGCTGCTGGACGGCCTCAGTCCGGAACAACGGTCGAGTGCAGTGCGACAGATAGGACAGTTCGTTCATCAGTGCCAGATCAAGGCACTGGAAGGGGAGGTGATCGAGGATCTCACTCACTTATCAAGTGTTTAATTGTTAAGAAGGGTTCGGAAGGGGTTAGTTTTAAGATATAATGATAACATTTGCCAAACACAACACTTTTGAGCCAATGTAAAATATAATGAATGCATATGATTTTCCGATTTATTTTTGGAACTTTGAGTTTTGTTATCGAATACCAGCTGTTGCGTCGATATCCGCCAGAGGGCGCTCAAACTTTCAAAAAAGGCGTTACGCACAGAAAACAACAGCACCCACGCACCCATGAACATTTATTGCAATTAATAACGCACACACGCACAGTATGCACTACAAAAATGCTTAAACAAATCGGTGGGCATGCAGTTAGACGCGAATGATTTTAATTCGCTTAGTTTCCACGCTCGATTCGCACGCTGCAGTTGTTGGCTGGTCTGCGCTCCTCTTGTGCGTCAAAGAGCCGCCAAAACATTAAGAATTATTGAAATAATAAACGGGCCAGACCAACACCCGCACAAAAGCGCTTTTTAAGTGTCTGTAAATGATTTTTGTTGTTCCCCTCCCCGTCGTGGTTCTTGGTTGTTTGTATAAATAAACGAGCCGGGAATCGTTTGAAGTTATAATATTTAAGATTCGTAGAGAACGCCGGAATTTGCATGGTGTTAATGGAATGCGATGAATCGGTTGATACATATATACATGAAAAACGTGCGCCATTGTTGTGACACCTGCTGGAACTTCCCTCTTCGTCTCCCATTATTTATCAGTCTACGTTTTTTTGTGGGTGTTTCCACATGCTTGTGTCTGTCAGTGCTGCGATTAGTTCAATCATCGGAGGCGAGGAAGAAAGCGGTTCCTGATAGTTTCTTCCCGATGCTGCTGTCTCTTTCTAAGTGAAAATTTGGTAAGTACACGAGGAGACCATCAATCTACCTTATGGTTTTATAGAATTTTAAAGAATTGAAAAAGAAAGTTTTAAAATTGAGCAGCTGAATTGAGTGAGCAGATTTTCGTGACTTCGTGAACATGTTCTAAGATAGTGAAAATAAAAAAATGGTTATACGTAATTATTTATATTCGTGGAACCAACAGCGGCTTTAAATCTTTACAAATATATGATATTATATATAGATATTTTTACAATAGTTATGCTGTTTTGGCATTGTCTCTGAGCATATCGGGGCAGATATTAATTCAGTTGCATACTTGTATCCCTTTTGATGAGAGCTTTAGAGCTCAAATGTAAATGTCATTGAAACATTTAAAGTTCAGCAGACCTTTGACCTGAAACCCGATCCATTTCCGCGCCGCTCAACTCCTCCCTTTCTATGGCTGAATCATTTATAGAGCTGCCACTTTGTCGCATCATTGGAGGAGGTCAAACCATCAATCACCATGGTCGTGGCAACGGCGGAAACGTGCGGCAGGATTCCCCTCCTGCTGCCCATCCTACAGCATGGTGGGGCACGGTACTCCTTGGTCTATTTTCCACTTGCAGTGGCAATTGTGTATGAAGAAAATTTGTATAATTGCCAATTGCCACAGATTTACTCGATTGCAGAGACGCGAGAGACGATGCACCAAATAATATTCAGCATACGTCGTGTGTGCCAAATTAATTGTAAAGCATTGCCGCAGCGGTGCCAACACACACACATTCGGATGCATGCTCGACGGCTCTCACACACACAAGTGCAACATACTCGTATGTACGTACATATCTATTTATATATAAATATATTTAGAGGCAAGATTCGCATAACAATAAATCCAAACAACATTTTGTTCGCCGCTTTGCGTTTTGAGGAGCGATTCGAGTTGCCTGTAAATTTGTGTATGTGAGAGTTAGAGTGTTAGTATGTCTGCATTGTTTTTTTTGGCATATGTACATATGCATGCATGCCGTCGTGTACATCTCGTACATACAATATATCTTTGTGTCTTTGCCATTGACAGTGCGGCTGTGTGTGTGCATCGAGGGCTGAAAAGTCATCTGAATTTTGAATGAGCCTCTCATCTGATTAGGGAATTTGGGTTCAACCATTCATGAATAAAGACACTCATGCTGAATGGGGGAACAATGCACCTAGTAGTTATTTATTATGCTAAATGATAAACAAATTCATAGAAGGAATTAATTATTTAAGAATGAACTCCATGAACATGATATTCACAGAGTAAGATCCACCGCTCCTCCTCTCTTTGTGGGTATCAAAAGTCGAAATATAGCCAGCCTAAACACGGATGTGGAGGAAACTAATTCCAATAATTTAAATGAATGTTTAAGCTTAACTAAGTTTAAGAAAAGCCTTCGTAATAATTTGAAAGCTTGGGTTGCCCACTGTGATCCTTTGTACCAATCATTTGATATTATGGGAGGATTGATTTGTGGCGTCGAATTCAACCTCTTTACTGCAGAAGAACTTTATTTGCAGCCCTCGGTGGTGTTACGTTCACATAACACATTGCACATACAACGTTATGGGCAAACACTTTTTCACTTTTTCGCTTTTCACCGCACTTTCCTGTCCTCTCTCCAGCACTCCTTCTCTGATTGCTTACTTGTGTGCGTGCCCATATTCCTTTCCGATAGGCTCTGGTGCCAGACTGCACTGCAGCAGCATTTTTTTATGGCCAGTGCAGTTCTTGTACCTCGAACGTTGCGACATGTTCTGCATGTCCAAACAACAACGCCTCAAACACTGTTGCAAACAATTTGCAATAAAATTGAATGCAGAACAGGCCACACAGCAAGGGGCAGCAACAGCAAGGGGCAGCAGGGGCAGCAGGGGGCAGCAACAGCAATGGCCAAAAGTCAATCATGCAGCCCGGAGAGTAGGCCACTAAGTGGGTCTCTACCCCTCAGAGCACGTGTGGGCCCCGAATTCGTCTTCTTTTCGCTCAACCTTTGGCTAGAGCTTTGAACTTTGGCGCCATCTCGCTGACCGACGCAGTCGGGCGCATAAATTTCTCTTTGAAGGGGGACTGCAGTTCAAAAGACTCGCTTGGAAAAAGTTCAGATCAAACTTTCGTCTTACACGTCTTACGTTCCTTCTCTCTCTCTCTTATCGTTTCGTTTCGTTTATTTTCTTTTCGTTTTTTTCGGTGCTCCTTCCCTTTCCCCTTTTGGCAGCAATGACCTACAAAAGCATTTTAAATTTACGACTTGAAGGCGAATCTGCCTCGAAATGAATGAAGACAAAGTGCAGGAGCGGCCAAGGAGTCAGGGGTCCGATGTCTGAGGAGTGGCAGGCACCAGTGATGCCTAGAAATAGAATCGAAAGGAATATGAATTCGAATGGATTGTTGCGGGAAAGTCTTGGAGACCAGCAAAACCTTTTGTGGAACCTTTTGAATCCAATTCTTTTTTGTTGCTCTATTTAATAATGAATAATAATGATACTAGTTGCCAAATTATAGAATATCATGGAACTGACATTACTGGGAAAACAAGTGACATGTTTGGATAATTTTTGCATGGTTTTTGGCCTCACGCTGCCTCACGAACGGGTGACTCATTTTGACACGAGCATGGAAAAACAGCCGCAAGCAAATGCCATTGGCGAGGCAATAATAGCCAAGCTGACAGCACTGTTGGGATTCCCCTGGCCCGACAGCTGCTTGGTTGTCTCATGGCCCAGGCCCGTGCTGGCGTGGAAATTTGCGCCGCGTGTGTCAAGCTGCTTAATTGCACTTGTGTGCAATTACATTTAAGTAACTAAAAGGAGTGCACTTGGCTGACAATTAGCCACAGACACACACAAACATGCAGCAGGGGCGGGGCAGGGTCCATCCTAATTGGATCTAGCAGCGGCAACAGTTCAGTTCAAACTGAGAATCATAATCATCAGCCTCATCAGGCCTCGGCATGCGAGTTGTGCTGGCAACAAAAGGTACGACAAAATAAACATGCGAAACTACACCAACTCATACGAATATGTATGCACGTACATACATACATATATGTATGTATATGCATTGGTAAGCATGTATCTCAAGCAGGAGGTCCCATATTATGTAGTTTTTTTCGATGTGGCTGCATGAGTTTTACGATTTGCTATTACTTTGCTATTTTGGAAATGGATTTTCTCTTTCGCTGTCGCTGTCGCTGCGTCTGTGTCTTTGTCTGACTGTGCTGCCCCTGCCCACTCTCCCTCCGTGCCACATATTTTCCATGAAAAGTCGGCATCTGCTGCCAGTCCTATGGTCCATTGTCTGAGCACGCTTGGCATCGTTTCAAGAACAAGAAATCGAACGCCTCTGCTCATTACTCATACGCAGCGTGTACACCAGCAACGCGGTAGGAGAACAAAAACAAACTTTAAATATAAATTATGCCTAAATTTAACTCAGTTACTTATTATATTTATTCAAGTTTATCGATTCTCCCTGTTACAAAGTAATGCGACAACTTTCTTTAATTCTAGACATGGTGTTAATTTGGATTCAATCTTCCTGGATCCAAACCACTTTTTGGCTAAGTGGCTTCTAGGACATATGGTGGCAGCTTTTCTCGAGGAGTCTATTGCAAACAATTTTAAAGGTAGGAATCGTTTTCAATAGTTTAGAATCTTACGTCTGGTAAAGAACAAAAAACACCCACGAAGCCACGTTAGGGGTGAATCCCAAACACTTTGTGATTACTAGCTGATCGGTCTGGGAATTTAAGCTTCATGAGCACCAAATCATACGCAATTACCATAACGCCATGAAACTTTGTGATTCCCCCTGCTATCATCATTTTATTCACACAACCAGAAACCCAAATATGTATGTATACATTTTAGAAATACATAAATTACATAACTCAGAATATGTCTCACCCCGCACACATTATAAAAGAAATTTCAAAATAGTCCCCGAAATATTCAATTGAAGGCAGCCATTTAGGCGTTGCGTTAAATCCATTGGAAAATATACACAAACACGGAATACGCGTATTCCCTATTTTCCGTATTTGATTGTAGGGCGGAAAATGAAAAAGTTAATTATGCGCAAAGTGAAACCAAATGTTTTGGCTCAAACGACTTTTCGGTCGAGTGTCGAGAGCAAATTGAATGTAAACTGAGAAAAATGAAATACGATGAGCACTTGTGGTCTCAGGGGGAGCACGGAGGCCATTTAATGGCCAACTGTCCATTTAATGGCCAACTGTCC